TTAGCAGCCATCTTCAAGCAAACACTGCCTAGGGATGCTTATTCTATGGAAGTTTGGAACTTTTATTCAAATCTTTGTGAATATATTACTCCTCCAACTTGCCAGTAAACCCCTTGAAACTTACGACTTGATTGCATGCAATAACCCTTAATACCTTAGATATCTCAGAACCTCCCAAGTTTATGACATTCACTGCAGCATGATTTACTCCATAAAATGTAGTAAGGTTCCCAGGAGTAGGTGGCTTATGCCTGTAATCTCAACACTTTGGGAGGCCAAGGTGGGCAGATCATTTCAGGTCAGGAGTTCGAGACCAGCCTGGCCAACGTGGTGAAACCCCGTTTCTACTAAAAATACAAAAGTTAGCTGGATGATAGTGGTGCACACCTATATTCCCAGCTACTCGTGAGGCTGAGGCAGGAGAATCACTTGATCCTGGGAGGCGTAGGTTGCAGTGAGTCGAGATTGAGCCACTGTACTCCAATCTGAGTGACACAGTGAGACCCTGTCTCAAAAAAAAAAAAAAAAAAAAAGAGTTCAAATTCAAAATAAGTCTTTTATATACAATAATTTTTAAAAATTGTTAACCTCAATCCATTTAACTACATCTTAGAAGGAAATCAAATCAACAAATATTTGTCTAGCTGATCATGTACCCAGCATTCTGGTAGGTACTGCAGAAAATAAGATGATATAGAGTACTCTTGTGACAGACAGAATATAGAAATGGACAATGACCAGAGCATATGTAAAAATGGAACTCTGACCTACAACCTCTCCAGGAACTAGTCCAGAAAGACAAAAGCTATTTCTGCATTAATCAACCCAGGACTTGATCAACTGCCAGTTTCCTTAGTTTTTGTCCTGTTTCCAATTTAGGACCAACCAGAGAAAGCCAAATGTGTATCCCCAACCGACCACATAGGATGCCGCGCTTCCACTTAACCTGCCTCCAGCCAACAACATCAAATCAGGGCATACCTGAAGTCTTTCCTTTTTTCTCATTATAAAACTTTCACACTCTCCTGCCTGCCTTCCAATCTCTGACAAACACAAGTGATGGTGGCTGACTGCTTTGCCACAGCAAGCTTTGAATAAATATCCTTTGCTTGTATTCATATGAGTGTTCTCCATTTATTTCTGCTCTTGGAATTACAGAATTATTATAGGTGGTTTCAATTATTAATTTATACCCCCAAAGACTCAAGACATAGTCATTTATAATTTTACTAGGGCTGGAATTTGAATTGTACTATTTGAGACTGATATATGGCAGTTAGTGACTGCCCTGTACACACATACAACTTTGCTTTTATATTCATACTGTGACACATGTACCTTACTGGGGAAATTATATTCTCTAGAGTATATTTTGGGGGATTTTTTTTTTTGTTATTTTTATTTTTTGAGATGGAGTCTCGCTCAGTCGCCCAGGCTGGAGTGCAGTGGTGTGATCGTGGCTCACTGCAAGCTCCGCCTCCTGGGTTCGCACCATTCTCCTGCCTCGGCCTCCCAAGTACTGGGACTACAGGTGCCCACCACTACTCCCGGCTAATTTTTTTGTATTTTCAGTAGAGACAGGGTTTCACCATGTTAGCCAGGTTGGTCTCGAACTCCTGACCTCGTGATCTGCCCGTCTCGGCCTCCCAAAGTGCTGGGATTACAGGCGTGAGCCACCGTGCCCGGCCTGGGGGATTATTTTTGAAGGTATCAGACTTAACACCTATGTATCTTAAGGGTCTACTATTGAGAAATTTCCAAAGAGTGATCGACTTTGAAGAGTAGAAAGGAAATTAATAAAAGATCAAGCCTGTGGGACTTAGAAAAAATAGTGCTACTCTGTTGACCTAAAAGGAAGAAGCTGAAGCAAAGTTAATATAAGTAGAGTTAATTTGGGCCAAGCTTGAAGATTGCAACCTAGGGGCATAGATTCAAGTTACCTTGAATATACACACCGATTAGCAGCCATCACAAGTGAATCTTATTTATTTATTTATTTTTTTTGAGACGGGGTCTCGCTCTGTCACCCAGGCTGGAGTGCAGTGGCCGGATCTCAGCTCACTGCAAGCTCCGCCTCCCGGGTTCACGCCATTCTCCTGCCTCAGCCTCCTGAGTAGCTGGGACTACAGGCGCCCGCCACCTCGCCTGGCTAGTTTTTTGTATTTTTTAGTAGAGACGGGGTTTCACCGGGTTAGCCAGGATGGTCTCGATCTCCTGAACTTGTGATCTTCCCGTCTCGGCCTCCCAAAGTGCTGGGATTACAGGCTTGAGCCACCGCGCCCGGCCTATTTATTTATTTTGAGACAGAGTCTCGCTCTGTTGCCCAGGCTGGAGTCAATGGCATCATCTTGGCTCACTGCCACCTCCACCCCCAGGTTCAAGCGATTCTCCTGCCTCAGCCTCCTGAGTAGCTGGGATTATAGGTGCATGCTACCACGCCCAGCTAATTTTTGTAGAGACGGGGTTTCACCATGTTAGTTAGGCTGGTCTTGAACTCCTGATCTCGTGATCTGCCTGCCTCAGCCTCCCAAAGTGCTGAGATTACAGGTGTGAGCCACTGCGCCCGGCCCACAGGTGAATCTTTAAAGGCAAAAAAGGGAACAAGGAGTGAACTGATACAACGTTGTGTACAGAAATTCTTATTGGTTTATGGAAATAACATTTATTAGTGACTAGTTACATTGTTAAGCTATAGGATGTAGGTTATAGTGTCTGATGCAACATTAGGTTAATTTATAGCTACTTGTGGCATAAGCAAGCAGTTTCAGGAGATGAATACCTAGCTCAAGGGAGAAGTAGGATGTGATTGTTGTCTCCTTTTAATGTCCCTCTGGGTCTGACAGTTTAAAATAACCACATTCCTCAGATAAAAATAATTTTCTTTTCTCACTCTAAATGACAGAAATGGAGACTTCGGAAAGGAATTAAGTATAAGGAAAAGATCAAGAGACAGCAGGATGTTCAAGTTCATTGAACAAACATTGACTGGCAGCTAGAGAATAGTAGGCACTATTCTAGATGCTGAGGATAATAGTGAAGAACAAAACAGAACAAAATCCTTTCTCTTGTGGAACTTACATTTGAAATTACACAGTTGAAGATTTAGCCTTGGGTAAGACATAGACATAAGGACAAAAAAAGGAATGCCTGAGATGCTCAGGATGCTGCCACAGCACAGAAACACACTAGGGCCTATGTTACAGCAGTCCCGTGGAATTTCCCTTAAATAACCCAGGGAAAAGATATTAATGGAAGTTAAACTAGGTTTTGAGACTAGCTGAATACAGTCTGCCAGAATTACTTTATCCGTTACAAGAATATCCACAGCTTGTCCTTTAACAGATGGTCTGGAAACAGGAGGTAATAATGGTAACTTACACAGTACTATCATTTACAATATTTTAATTCAGAAGCTCATATTTATAGAAGAAACTGAGGCACAGTAGAGAGTAGAATAATCCTCAAGATTATATAACAAATTGTAGTCAGATTAAGAATTGGTATCTAGCTTTCCTGACTCTTAAGATTCTGAGAGATATTTATAATGCTATTATTTTTTCAGACTATACATCAAATATTAGCATAAAGAATTCTTAGGCGTCTTACGGGCTGATACCCTAAAGAATGCTAACGAAATAAAAAAAGAGACTGGTGCTGGAATAATATGATTAATGTCTGCAACGAAATTTCCCCTAAGTAGTCATACCAAGTAGTTGGTTAAGGTTTTGTTTTTTTTTTTTTTCTTGCACAATACGTTTCTGAATGATTTATTACAGGTGTTTGATGCTTATAGTTTATTTGAAATTGATTCGATCAATTAAAATGCTCATTGGCATTGTTTTATTAGTCGCTAGAATATGCATTCAACTTCACTGAAACAAGACTTAAAAGGTAAGAGGTACACTAAATCGTGACTATAAGAGTAAGAGAACTTAATTTCTTCACACCATCTGGACAAGATGTTAAATTACAGAACCCTTTAGTCTTGTTTTTGTCTTCTAGATAGAAATCAGGATGCTGGACAAACCTTTCCCATGGAATAGTCAAAATATTTAAGGAACAAGTCTATATACAGTTTAATAATCGCCAACATTTGGCAGGGCGTGGTGGCTCACGCCTATAATCCCAGCACTTCGGCAGCTCGAGGCGGGCGGATCACTTAAAACCAGGAGTAGGAGACCAGCTTGGCCAACATGGCGAAACCCCGTCTCTACTGAAAAATATAAAAATTAGCCTGGCATTGGTGGCTTGCGCCTCTAGTCCCGGATACATTGGAAGCTGAGGCTGGAGAATCGCTTGACCCCGGGAAGCAGAGGTTGCAGTGAGCTGTGATTGTGCCACTGCACTCCAGCCTGGGTGGCAGAGTGAGACACTGTCTCAAAACAAACAAACAAAAAATTGCTAACATTTGTGAGGTTCTTATTATGTGCCACGAATGGATCTAAGCCCTTCACATTTGTAAACTCATGCAATCCTGGCATATACACAAAAAACGAATGTGGCAGGTACTATCATCATGTCCATTTTGTAGATAAAGAAACCGAGGGCCAGAGAAGTTGAAGTAGCTTGCCCTAGGATGTAGTTTGTAACTCCTAGAGCTGAGATCTTGTTTATATACAAAAGGTTTCAAGAATCAAAAGCACTCTAAGCCACTTTGCGTTTCGGCTGTCGAGAAAGGGATATCCAAAGTTTCAGGTTCGCAGTTTGTGAAACGGAGCTGCCAGCTTTCGTTCTAAGGCGGGCTTAGGTTTGGCACTCCCTCGTCCAACGCTCTGCCCCAGACACCCACGCTCGCTTTCCTCTTCTTCCTCCACCTCGCCCTACTTCCCTTCTTCCTATATTCGCTCTTTTTTCGCCTCGCCGCCGTGTATCCTCGTTCGCTGCGGAGCGCCTCGCATTACTTCCCTAGCCTCTGCCACGCCACGCTGGATACGCGCCCACGCGCAGTCCGCCGTCGCGCCTCTATGACGTGTCGCCGCTTTCGGCCGGGGGTGGGGGGGCGAGGCTGCGCGGAGGGCAAGCCGGGGGCGGGGCCGGGGCCAGAGCAGAACCCCGGGTCTCCGCGGCCATAGCTGACTGAGCTGTCCCTTCCCCTCACCCGCTCCACGCCCTCCTGGGCCGAGTGGAGTTGGGTGGTGTCAGCAGCCTCTCCCTGAGGGGCACCGCGGCTTCAGGAGCTGGGCCTCCAGTGCGGCGCGATGTCAGGCGCCGTGACAGCTCTGTGAGTCCGAGGCCGCGGCCGTGGCGCTGGGCGGCTGCGGGGCCTGGCCGGTCCGCTCATGGTGCCGCCACGACGCCATCGCGGGGCAGGAAGGCCAGGTAGGCAGGCAGGGAAGGGCCCCGACATCACCGGAGCCCAAACCGGGACGGAGTGCCCACCAACAGCACCACCTCCTGCCCTTGGTGGCAGCCGGAGCGCCTTGACCGAAACCGTGACGGTCTCCAGGGGCGGAGGGACGGGAGCTGACAGGGGCGCCCGAGCCCTGCGCCCACCCCTGGCAATTGAGGAAGCCGTGCGTGCGCCCTCGCCTCGGCTCGCCGGGGAGGCGTCACTGCCTTAACTGTCTTCCCCGCTCCAAAACAGGAGGAGGATTCCTTTTCCCAGCTGTTTCTTTTGAAATGACTGGATGTTTTGACAGAGGTGGGTGGAGGAGCGTGGAGAATCCTTTTCTTTTACCACTTGAGGATATTGGAGAGGTGCCTTCAAGATCCACAACAAATCACTTACTCTCGGATAACCAAATTCCACTCCAGGAGATCGGGGACAGAAAAGACACTTTTAGAAACAGTGTCTAGACGCTGTCCCCGGGGATGGATTCCTCTGGGTGGAGAGGTGAATGGAGTTCTGTGTTTGTGAAATTCAGAGAAGCTATTTTCTAGTAGTTAACTATTCTTAAATGTGCCGTCTGTTGTATATTACTCCCCCTCGCTGCCCGCCCGGTATCGCGTATCTCTCTAAGGATAATCTGAAGCGTACAGTGGATACCATGAAAGTACTGAGAAAGGTGGCAAGTATGTTTAACACCTTTTGGTCCTTTTCTTTGATTTGCTTTCAGTTTGAAGGCGAAGAGTAAAAAACGATGTGATGAATCTTACCTTGAGTTACTGACGTTTTCATAGCATAATTTCATGGTTGTTTTTAGGGGTGCTGAGTTCTTCACCTTTCAGACTGAGATCTGCCAAGTTTTCCGGCATTGCTCTTGAGGATCTCAGAGAGGCTCTTAAGACCAGGTAGGTTCCACATGCTTATCCACTATGTAACTTTCACACTGAACATTAGCTAACACATGTCAGATGTTTCTGTTATACTAATTTTCTGATTTTTAATGGTTATTCTTCTAAAATCATCTCTAATGTGATCTGTATTTTCTAAAAAAAACAGACTGCAAATGGTGTGTGTGTTTATCATGAACCGAATGAATTCCCAGAACAGTGGTTTCACTCAGCGCAGGCGAATGGCTCTTGGGATTGTTATTCTGCTGCTTGTTGATGTGATATGGGTTGCTTCCTCCGAACTTACTTCGGTACGTACCTGCGGTCCAGGAATGATGTTACATTACAGCCACGATGTTACTGTTAACCTGTAGTAACTCTAGCCATTACAATCTCCTGCTTTCTGAAAGCAGTATCTTAAATACTATGGAATTTTTAAAAAATATCGAATGATTGCCACTTGAAGTTAAAACTGAAAGGATGATCTTTTTTATTGTTTCATATAGTTTTCTTGCATCTTTTAGGGAGGGTTACTTAGAGAGACTATGCATATTTTCTTATATTTGAAAGTGTTACTTTTGGCTTTTTTTCTAAATTCAAATTCTTTCTGTGAATATTATTTTCTAGTGAAATAACTATCAGGATGCAAAACAATGTCACCATTTACTAGAAAGTTCAGCGTGCTTTTGGACAAATGAGTAAAAATAATGAGTTTTCATGTGTAGGTCACTGTTATGCCCATGAGTGGTTGCATCCACATTTATGCTTGCTGACTCAAACCTTATTATGAGGTGCTTGGTATACCTCATAATTTTCCTTCAGTTAAGTTGTATCTTTACAATTTCCTTCAGTTAAATTGTATCTTTATTGATGACCTATTGGTAGTAATGTGGCATTTTGAATTTGCAAGCTAGTTTTTCTTTCTACTTGTATACTTTATTCTGCTTGGTTAATGATCCCTATAAAAAGCAACTTTTATTTTCAGAAGTCTGCATTTCAACTTCTATGTTGCAATTTTAAGGCAAATATACAGCAGGAAACTGGCATTTATAAAATGAATTTAACTTTCAAAAGCAGTTTAATACTCAGGTCTTCTCATATTGTAGCTAAGTAAATATTGACATTGGCATTGTATTCTATGAGTATATAAGTTTTTTTTTTTTGAGATGTAATCTTGCTCTGTTGCCCAGGCTGGAGTGCAATGGCGCGATCTCGGCTCACTGCAACCTCCGCCTCCTGGGTTCAAGCGATTCTCCTGCCCCATCCCCCTGAATAGCTGGGATTACAGGCGTGCCCCACCACGCCAGGCTAATTTTTGTATTTTTAGTAGAGACGGGGTTTCACCATGTTGGTCAGTCTGGTCTCGAACTCCTGACCTCGTGATCCGCCCGCCTTGGCCTCCCAAAGTGCTGGGATTACAGGTGTGAGCCACTGCACCCGGCCAAGTATATAAGTTTTTATACTTTTCGGAGTTAGTCTCTGGAATCTAATAGGCCATATATTTTTCGTTTTAGAACTCTTCTATAACTTTCTTTTAGATGAACATTTTGTACTTTTACCTCAAAGAAATGTCTTTGATATTGACAGGGAACTAAATCTATCTTTTAAATTTTATTTTCATTTAAAATAAATAGTTTGCTTTTATTTATCAGTTAATACAATTTAGGACCAAATAGCACCTGGTTAAGTTATAATTTAACCATATCTAAGCAAAGTAGAAAAGAAAAAATGTGTTGTTTGTGGTAATCATTTCACAATGTATACATATATCAAAACACCACGTTGTAAAAAGTACATATATTTGGTATTTGTCAGTTGTACTTTAATGAAACTGGAGAAAAAAACTCATCTTTATTGTTTTAAAGTAAAATATTTTAGTAAGAGGATATTTTATAATCTCATTATTCAAGAGTATATGTAATGTCTCTACTTCTTCAACCAGATATGCTCATTAAACTTTGGAGATAGGGCCGGGCGTGGTGGCTCATGACTGTAATCCCAACACTTAGGGAGGATGAGGTGGGTGGATCACCTGAGGTCAGGAGTTTGAGACCAGCCTGGTCAACATGGTAAAACCCAGTCTCTACTAAAAATACAAAACTTAGCTGGGTGTGGTGGTGGGTACCTGTAATCCCCGTTTCTCAGGAGGCTGAGGCAGGAGAATCGCTTGAACCTGGGAGGCAGAGGTTGCAGTGAGCCGAGATCACGCCATTGCACTCCAGCTTGGGCAACAAAAGTGAAACTCCTTCTCAAAAAAGAAAAAAGAAAGCAAACTTTGGAGATAAAGTGTGTATTTCAAAAATAAAATCAGTCTTTTTATTATGGATATTTTCTAACGTATACAAAGTAGAATATTATAATGAATCTCCTTGTGTTCATTACTTACCTTTAGCAGTTAAGCAAATTTGCCAACCTTATCAACCTCTCCTCAAAACTTTTTTCCTGGAGCATTTTAAAGCATATTTTAAAGCATATGTCACATGTCATTTCAGCCACAATTTCTTTCCTATATACTTGAAACTGAAAAGGACTTTTAATTTTCTTAAACATAATCACTATGCCATTAACATAGTTAACAAAATTAACTGTAATTCCTTAAGATCATCTGACATCCAGTTCATGTTCCGTTTTCTCCAGTCCAGTTTTCTGCAGTGGTGTCAAGGACTTTTTTTTCCCGTTAAGTTTGTTAGGATCTAAACAAAGATCACGCGTTGCATTTGTGATATCTTTTAAGTCACTTTATTCCTTAACTGTATCTTCCCTCCTTTTTTTTTTTTTTTTCATATCATTAATTTGTTGGAGAAACTGGGTCATTTTTCCTATTGGGTGTATCACACATTCTGGATTTAGCTGATTGTTTCCTTGGGGTATCATTTAACTTGTTATTTTTCTCTTTATTTCTTGTAAAGTGGTAGTTAGGTATAAAGTCGATTTAGGTTTAGTTTTCAGGAAAGAATACTTTGGGGTACTGAGTACTTCCTGTAACATTCCAGCATGAGATTAATGACTGCAAGTCTCAATTTAGATGATGCCATTTAAGTACTATAAAGTTCCTCATCACCTTTTAGGTAATAGTTGAATATCCACGTTTAAGTTGTCTAGATAAAGTATTTCATTAGGGGTTGCAAAATGGTGATTTTTTTTTTTTTGAGTTATTCCCTCTGTATTTATTAGCTGGAATTCTTTAAGTCTTTTTAATATGGCCTTACTGATTTTTTTTTTGAGATGGAGTTTTGCTCTTGTCACCTAGGCTGGAGTGCAATGGTGCGATCTTGGCTCACTGCAACCTCTGCCTCCCAGGTTCAAGCAATTCTCCTGCCTCAGCCTTCTGAGTAGCTGGGATTATAGGCACCTGCCACCGTGCCCAGCTAATTTTTGTATTTTTAGTAGAGACTGGGTTTCACCATGTTGGCCAGGCTGGTCTTGAACTCCTGACTTCAAGTGATCCACCCACCTTGGCTTCCCAAAGTGCTGGGATTATAGGTGTGAGCCACTGTGCCTGGCCAGAGCCATTGTTTCTTTTAGTATCAAATGGCGTGGACCACCGTTTACGTCCTAGAGTTGCACTTTCCTCCTGGATTGTCATTTTTTTCTATGCCTTTTTAGTGGCTATAACTAGGAATTTTCTTAGGATATAAAAAATTGTGAGTTTATATTCATGATACACTAAAAACAAACAAACAGAAAACACCAGTCTCCCTTGGGAAACGTCCATAACGTTGAAATTTGTCAGTTTCCTTTTGGTGTTCCCATGGTATCCTGAACCCCTCTCTTGTTACTTGGCACATTATGCTTATTGTCTTCATATATATGTCTCCTCTATTAGATGTTAAGCTCCCCAAGGGCAGGATAACTTCCCTTATTTCTCTCTTTTTTTTCTTTATGAAATAGGGTCTTGCTCTGTTGCCCAGGCTGGAGTGCGGTGCCTTGATCATGGCTCACTGCAGCCTCAACCTTTGTGAACTCAAGGGATCCTCCTGCTTCAGCCTCCTAAGTAGCTGGGACTACAGGCGCATGCCACCACGCCTGGCTAATTTTCCTATTTTGTTGCAGAGACAGAGTTTTGCCATGTTGCCCAGGCTGGTCTTGAAATTCTGGACTCAAGCACTCCGCCTGTCTTGGTCTCCCCAAGTGCTGGGATTATTGGCGTGAGCCACCACGCCTGGCCCTGTCTTATTTTTCTTTAGCTCCTAGTATAGGCACTGTTTCATAGTAGGTTTCAATGAATGTTAAACCAAACTTATTTTAGCAGGTTGTTGCTGCTTTGTTTGGTGATATCCTTTTGTATGCAAGGTAAATACAGTATTCAGAAATGAATCTAAAATATTTTTGTAATCCCTTTGACTTCTTTCCAAGTGAACTTCTGAAGAGTTAAAAATCATGTAGTGACTTTATTTTGGAGACGAGTAATAAGGTTTAAGATCATCTCAAAGTTGTCTGTGTAACTTGTTCCTCTGCAGTATGTTTTTACCCAGTACAACAAACCATTCTTCAGCACCTTTGCAAAAACATCTATGTTTGTTTTATACCTTTTGGGCTTTATTATTTGGAAGCCATGGAGACAACAGTGTACAAGAGGACTTCGCGGAAAGCATGCTGCTTTTGTAAGTTTTTAATTTTAAGTGTCTGTTGGGAAGGGGGTATATGTATGTTTTTTCAAAGTTTAAAGACGTATTAGTTTCTTTAAGGAGAGTCTTATTTTAAGTTGTTCAGTTAAGCGAGTGAAGATGATATAAGGAAACCTGCTCTCGTCCAGAATTTTAAATGTATTCTTCTAATCAAGTAGTATCAGAATATTTTGTGAGAACTCTTACTCCATGACGTTTTCTGAGTTGTTAAAAATTGTTGAATTAGTCCAAATCAATTAATGTGGCGATGAAGATGAAACTAAGGAATAAGAAGAATGTCAAGAGTCTTTGCAGATTGGATGAGTATCCTCTAATTGTTAGGTGGATTCTGGAAACAAAACAATTCAAAGTTTTATGTATTAAAATGAAAATCTCATATTTCCAGACATATTTTAGATGTTTGGCTAATCAAACTATATTCTTTGATTGAAGTAATATAACATGCTCATTCATAGTGTTGAAAGAAATATGAGTTTATATAATGATATATCTTCTTTATAGAAGTAGAAATTTTGAATTATTGAGAATGAAGAATTATAAAACTGTTTCTTATATTAATCCTTTTAAAACATTCTTTATTATGTTAAAATATATATAATGTGAAATATACCATTTTAACTATTTTTAAATGTATACTAGTGGCATTAAGTGCATTTTCTTTGCTGTACAACCATCAGCTCCAGAATTTTTTATCATCCTAGACAGAAAGTCTGTACACAGACTTAAAAATAACCCCTATTCATTCTTCCCTCCAAACCCTAGTAACCACTATATTATTTTCTGTCTCTATTAATCTTTTTCTTTCATGTGTATTATTTTTTGTGGGTTAAAATAGTATTGTTTGTTTCTTGTCTTATCTAATAAGTACATTCTTTTTAAAATTACTGATTTATTTTTAGAGACAGGGTCTCACTTTGTTGCCCAGGCTGGAGTGCAGTGGTTTAATCATAGTTTGCTATAACCTTGAACTCCTGGGGTCAAGCAATCCACTTGCCTCAGTCTCTCTAGCTGAGTACATAGCCACGCAATACCACACCCCACTCATTTTTGTATTTTTTGTAGAGACAGTGTCTCACTATGTTGCTCAGGCTGGTCTCAAAGTCTGGCCTCAGGCAGTCCACTGTCTTGGCCTCCCAAAGTGCTGGGGTTACAGGCCTGAGCCACTGCACCCTGCAGTCAGGGGCTTTCAATAATTGTATTTTAAAGCTGGGCTTGGTGGCTCATACCTGTAATCCCAGCACATTGGAAGGCCAAGGCAGGCAGATCTCTTGAGCCTCAGGAGTTCAAGACCTGCCTGGGCCATAGTAGCTCATGCCTCTTATCCTAGCACTTTCGGAGGCTGAGGTGGGCGAATCATGAGGTCAGGAGATCGAGACCATCCTGGCCAACATGGTGAAACCCCGTCTCTACTAAAAATACAAAAATTACCTGGGCATGGTGGCATGCTCCTGTAGTCACAGCTACTCAGGAGGCTGAGGCAGGAGAATTGCTTGGACTCGTGAGTCAGAGGTTGCAGTGAGCTGAGATCACGCCACTGCACTCCAGCCTGGTGACAGAGCGAAACTCCGTCTCTAAATAAATAAATAAATAAAAAACATTAAATTTTTTTTTTAAATTTAGGTGAAGCCTGCAAATGTATACTCATGTGCACACACAAATTTAACTTACCAAAAATATAAGTACGTATTTCTTTACTTTGCAAAAGTAATACATATACATTGTAGCAATTATATATACATCATAATATCACATGTAGGGATAAATTGTATGTGTATTAGCATAGGTATATTGTTGAAAATTTAGAAAATACAGAGAAACAAGAAGAAGAAAAGAAATTCTACCATTCAAGGAATAACCACTGATAATATTTTGACATATATCCTACCATTCTTTTCATGTGTGTATTTTTTATTTTTTACAAAAATGGAATTGGGCCTGGTGCGGTGGCTCATGCCTATTATTCCAGCACTTGAGGAAGCTGATGTGGGTGGATCATTTGTGGCCAGGAGTTTGAGACCGGCCTGGCTAACATGGTGAAACTCTGTCTCTACTAAAAATACAAAAAATTAGCCAGTAATGGCAGTGCATTCCTATAATCCCAGCTAGTTGGGAGGCTGAGGCACGAGAAGTCGGGAGGTGAAGGTTACAGCGAGCAGAGATTGCACCACTGTACTCCTGTCTGGGTGACAGAGTGAGACTGTCTCAAAAAAAATAAAAATGAAAATGGAATTGTTTCTTTTTAAGGTTTATCCATGTTGTAGTGTTTCTGTACTTCATTCATTTTTTGTTGTTGTTGTTGAGACAGAATCTCACACTCTTGCCCAGGCTGGAGTGCAGTGGCGTGATCTCGGCTCACTGCAACCTCTGCCTCCTGGGTTCAAGTGATTCTCATGCCTCAGCCTCCTGAGTAGCTGGGATTACACGCGCCCACCACCATGCCCGGCTAATTTTTGTATTTGTATTAGAGACGGGGTTTCACCATGTTGGTCAGGCTGGTCTTGAACTCCTGACCTCAAGCAATCCACCCACCTCGGCCTCCCAGAGTGCTGGGACTACAGGCGTGAGCCACTGCATCCGGCCAAGTAATGTCATTTTTAAAGCTTTTAATTCTTATTGCTAAATTACCGTCTGTAATGGTTGCATTAATTCTTATCTCTGTTAGCAGTATATAATTAAACCCTTGTTAAACACTCATTAAATCTCATGATTGAACCCTTACCAACATCCCGACATTTGGCAACTTGACAGGTGAACAATGATGATAGCTTGTTTAATGTGCATGTTTTTGGTTACTTTCTCATATATTTTTTGGAAAGTAGAACTCTTGTGTTTGTTGTCTGCGTCTTATTTTTCTACAATGACTCCCTTTTTGTTATTGATCTTTTAGGGTTCTTTTACAGCATGGGGCTCTAGTGTTTGAATCTTATTCTATCACTTGCCAACTTTTGACCTTGTGCAAGTTTTTTAACCTCTTCAGACTTTCAGCAGAGATAATGATAGACTAGCTATGAATATGAAATGGAATCATATAGCATTAGCGCAGTGATTCTCAAAGTGTGGTCCAAACCTTGAAATTCATTCAGGGTTTTTTTCTTTTTTCTTTTTGAGACGGAATCTTGCTCTGTGGCCCAGATTGGAGTGCAGTGTCGTGATCTCGGCTCACTGCAACCTCTGCGTCCTAGTTCAAGCGATTCCCCTGCCTCAGCCTCTTGAGTAGCTGGGATTACAGGCACACGCCACTGTGCCCAGCTAATTTTTGCATTTTTTAGTAGAGATAGGGTTTCACCATGTTGGCCAGGCTGGTCTCAAACTCCTGACCTCAAGTGATCCACCCACCTCAGCCTCCCATAGAGCTGGGATTACAGGTGTGAGCCACCACGCTTGGCCTCATTCAGAGGTTTTTGAGGTCAAAACTAATTTCATCATAATACTGAGATACTGAGATGTTTCTTCCCTTTTTTTTTTTTTTTTTTTTTTTTTTGAGACGTAGTCTTGCCGCCCAGGCTGGAGTGCGGTGGCACGATCTTGGCTCACTGCAACCTCCACCTTCAGAGTTGAAGTCATTCTCCTGTCTCAGCCTCCTGAGTAGCTGAGATTACAGGCACGTGCCAACACCCTTAGCTAATATTTTTGTATTTTTAGTAGAGACAGGGTTTCACCATGTTGGTCAGGCTGGTCTTGAACTCCTGACCTCAGATGATCCACCAGCCTTGGCCTGTTACTTGCCTTTTTAACTAACCCATCCCTCCTTTCCCTACTTATCTGAAATATTATAGTAGTGTTGTGAAAAGGGCATAAGCTTTTGTTTTAGACTAACTTGGGTTTTAATCCTGACTGTCAGGATTAAAAATCTCTCAGCCTCAAATTTTTCATCCATAAAATGAAGATAATACCTACCTCACAATGGTGAATATGTGGCATTAGCTGCTATTATTGTTAGTAACAGTTATACTCTTGTAGGTTGATTCTGGATTTTTGCTTCTATTTATTTGAGTCATGTCTGACTAGTCCTACAGTGTAATATAAATTGAATTGGATTTTATACCTTGTTATCTGTATTTAGTTTGCAGATGCTGAAGGTTACTTTGCTGCTTGCACAACAGATACAACCATGAACAGTTCTTTGGTAAGTCCTTCTTTTTTTGTCAGGAATGGAGAGGTGGGGTTGAGCCATGGTAGGAAAAACTGAAACAGTTTTGATGTTAGCAAAGCTATGTTACAACATAGATATGGCTCAATATTGGGTGCCCATCATGAGGATTGTAATTTGGTACTTTTTTTCTCCTTAGGGATACCTGGGGCCTAGAGGTAAGCAATTTAGCTGCCTCTGAAGAGAGAGGGGAAGGGGAAACTGGTTCAGGAGTGAAAATAATAAAGGACAATCCTTTGTTACTAACCAACTTTTTTACTTCATGCACGTTATTATTATCATTTAGAAACACATATTTTTGACACTGAGACTATACAGGCAAATTGTTTGTTTGTGTATTCCACAAATTTTTTACAGTGACAAATATGTGTTAAACACTTGTTCTAGGCTCTGAAGATACAGCTTTGTTCTAGTGTGTGAGTGTGTGTGTATTTGCGAGGGGACAGGTAATAAGCAAGTAAAGTAATTGACGTAGTCACTTATTTTAAGCATTTATAATCTAGTTGGAGAGGTAGTATATAAAAATCTGTTTTTTTTAAGATGATCACTCAGGCACCTCTTCTTTTATTTTTTATTTTTAGATTTCTTTTTAGAGACAGGGTCTTGCTCTGTTGCCTGGGATGGAGTACAGTGGCAGTGTTATGGCTCATTGTTAACTTTGAACTGCTGGGTTTAAACGATCCCCTTGTCTCAGCCTCCTAAATACAAGCATACTCCACCACTAGCTTTTGATTTTTATTTTTTAGAAACATGGTCATGCTGTGTTGCTCAGGGTGGCATCTCTGTAAAATGTATTTTTAATGATACTTGTTTTCTTTCCAAACATGGCATTTTATCTGAGAAAAATTGTAATTACTCTAAAATTTAATAGCAATTTGTGAAGCACTGGCTTGGTGACCTTACTCCCAGCACAGTTTTCTTGTTTGCCTCTCTGTTTTTTAGTGTAGGCTACAGTGGCATGCAGAGTAGGTTAATAGGTACTATGAAGAATTTTTTTTTTTCCTGGGATTTTAAGCATCAATAACATAATTTAGTATCATTTGTCTCTATCAGTACAGAAGACAGAGTTGAGATGACAGCCTGTTCTTCTGACTACTCTTGTACTAATTCTTGCTATTATCTGTAAGATGGATATGTCAAATTGCTCTAGGCCAGATGCTATAGTGAAAACTTCAGTATAACAAAGAGATTATGTCTATTTCCAAACCTACTGTCCCTTCATTTACTGAATATATACATTTTTTTATTGGTAGAGCTCCTATACCAGGAGTTAAAAGAGAAATCAAAGAAATAAAAAAAATTCTGTTAATTTTGAACAATTAGCCTAGTTGGAGATTTGTACCTTAAATATAGATCATCTGAAGAACATTTGTAAAAACAGTTGAGGAATTTATAACTACCTGAAAATATGGACCTTTGGAGCATGGTTAGACAAACCTGGCTTTAATTCTTTTGTCTACTACCTGATTACTTTATATCTCAGCTTTATTCTCTAAAATTATTAATATTATTATTATTGTTTTGAGATGGAGTCTCGCTCTGTCACCCAGGCTGGAGTGCAGTGGCAGAATCTCAGCTCACTGCAGTCTCCACCTCCTGGTTTCAAGCGATTCTCCTGCCTCCACCTCATGAGTAGCTGGGATTACAGGCACACACCACCACGCTCAGCTAATTTTTGTATTTTAGTAGAGATGGGGTTTCACCATGTTGGCCAGGCTGCTCTCGAACTCCTGACCTCAAGTGATCTGCCCGCCTCAGCCTCCCGAAGTTCTGAGATTACAGGCATGAACCACTGCACCGGCCATATTCTATAAAATTATTGTGAGGACTAATGAGAAATATATGTTTAACTGCTCTAGAGTTGGTACTCAATACATAGTAAGAACTGGTAAGTAGTAGCTATTTTGTGTAAAGGTCTTCAAGAATTTTAGTTAATATAAGAGGAGACAATTTAGTAAATATTAAATACATACTATATACCTGGTTATCAGTTTGTTATCTGCCTTCCCTGTTAGACTGAATGATCACTGAGGAAGAGACTGCTTTTATTTACCCTTATTTCCCCAGGATGTAGAACAGCATCTGACCTAGTAGGAGCTCAATAAGCATTTGTTAAATGAATGAAAAGGAATGAGACATAATCTGTTAGCTGAGATAGAATCTGTTAGCTAAGAAAGAGATATGTTTTTATGACATTTAAATATTAGATATCATAATATGCCAATGCTGTTATATTACGTTTCTAAACTGTAAACTGGATTCTTTTCTGTCATTGTACCTGTATGGATCTGTTGAGTTTCCTTTTTTAAGTCTTGAAAATTGCTGTTTAAACTTGGTGGTGAACAACCATGTTTTAGATGGTATTTGTGTTTGCGTACCATCCGTTTAAATTTTAACCAGTATATTAGCTTTTATATTTGTTGTTTATTTTTTTTTCTATTATATTCCAGAGTGAACCTCTGTATGTTCCTGTGAAATTCCATGATCTTCCAAGTGAAAAACCTGAGAGCACAAACATTGATACTGAAAAAAGTAAGCAAAACTTAGAAATGGGTAGAAAGTTTAGCTTTATCCAAGCCACTTCAGAACTTAGTGATGATGTGGGTTGACTGAAACACCCAGCAATTCTGCTCCATGTGGTGTCGTCTCAGCCTAAAGTCTTCTAGAAGTTTGACTGGATTGTGAATCTAATATAGTATAATCATTTTTGTATTATTTCAACTGGAAATAATTTCTAAATACCAGAGATCTCTATGGTTTCATCATATATATGTATACACACATATACACACACGCATCACACGCATATACATATATATATATACTTTTTTAAACAAATAATATCCTCTTAAATATGCCCTCAAAGAGCCTAATAGCAAATTATAAGAATTTTGCTGCTTCTGTGAATTTAGTGAAGAATGCCACCTTTAACATAAGGTTCAGTATTTATCCTTAATTTCCCTTGCAAGGAATGGACCTATAGAGAATTGTTCTATGTGCTTGCCCAGGAAACGATTTCTCATAAATTGGATATGCATGAGGAAAAATCCAAATAAAGTTTTACTAGAAATACTAAAATAGTAATCAACTAAAATCCTGAAATAGGCAGTTGTGTATATACAGTACACAATTGCAGAAACCTTGTTCGAATATTGGTTTCATTTTAAACCTTTGACAACATTTTTGTAGATGAAAACATTTTTCCTTTTAGCTCTTTTAAGTGAACAAAGTTGTCTCAGGTAATGATATACCTCTGGTTTACTTTGACTGTCTTACTCTGATCATAGATGAACTTATACATTTATCAGTAAATTAAAACTTGTGACTTTTGTTGGAGAAGAATTATTTAAATATTTCGTATTGTGCTTTTCCTTTTAAGCCCCCAAAAAGTCTCGTGTAAGGTTCAGTAATATCATGGAGATTCGACAGCTTCCGTCAAGCCATGCATTGGAAGCAAAGTTGTCTCGAATGTCATATCCTGTGAAAGAACAAGAATCCATACTGAAAACTGTGGGGAAACTTACTGCAACTCAAGTAGCAAAAATTAGCTTTTTTTTTTGCTTTGTGGTAGGTCTTTTTATGATCTATTTGCATATGATATTTGAAACTTGAATTTTAAAACAGTATATATACCAACAATATAGGATGGAAGTGTGAGACAATTAGGTTGTTTAATCATGACTTTAAACTCTGCTGTTTGAGACCTGTAGGAAGTTAGGGTATCAAAATTAGTAAATGCTTGATATTCCTCAAAGAGTTAGCATTCAATAAGTCCTATAACACTTCAGCTATTTATATATATGCACAAACTTTTGAACACGCACAGTTTGGGAAGTTCTTCAGAATTTAGCATTGCCTCATGGTCAAAATTATGAATAGAGTTATTTTCCACTGTAATATATGTATATACAAAGGTTAGTAAATATCCAGATAAGAGTTTACTGTATGCATTGATTTTTTTCAAATAAATGTTTTGCAGTTTTATATTCATATAAATGAGGTTAAGTATTATTTTGTCAAGTACTCAGTATATTTCTACAGAATTTCTGGTTGTATTATTTATAGTTTCTTACTTTTTAAAGATAGAAACTGAAAAATGTGCTTAAGATTTCACATAGAATAATGATGGAGTAAATAAAGTATTGTTATTTTGGGCTAAGCTGGGATTAGAGACTTGTCTGAGTTAGTGAGAACTCTAACATGTAGAATTTAAAAAATGAATTTCTGTGCTATTTTATGTATACATCATTGGAAGTAGCCTAATCCAAGGTTTTTTAATATGAGCCTTTAAGATTCAAATTTATACCGAGCATCTTAAAACCCTAAATAATGAAATGCTAATGTCAATGTTATTAGCCTGATTATAAAATTTTTTTAATGTCATGATTTTGCCTTTCATACTCAAATAGCCCATTTTTCTCCATTCCCTGGCTCTACTAATAACACTACTCTTTATAGCAGATTTAAAGGTATGTGCAGATAATAGCCTTTTTAAGAATTAATTTTTGAAATTATAATAAAGTATACATAAAATACACCATTTTGATCATTTTTTCTTTTTTTTAAACGGAGTTTTGCTCTTGTTGCCCAGGCTGGGGTGCAATGGCGCGATCTCGGCTCACCACAACCTCTGCCTCCTGGGTTCGAGCAATTCTCCTGCCTCACCGCCCCGAGTAGCTGGGATTACAGGCATGCGCCACTACAGCCAGCTAATTTTGTGTTTTTAGTAGAGACGGGGTTTCTCCATGTTGGTCAGGCTGGTCTCAAACTCCCGACCTCAGGTAATGTCCCCTGCCTCAGCCTCCTGAAGTGTTGGGATTACAGGCATAAGCCACCGCTCCCGGCCCTGATCATTTTTAAGTGTACGGTTAGTGGCATAAAGTACATTCACATTGTTGTGCAACCATCACCCCATCCATCCACAGAATTTTTTCATCTTATAAAACTGAAACTATCTGTTAAACAATAACTCTTCTTTCCCACCACCCACAGCCCCTGGCGACCTCTATTCTGTTTCTGTTTCTATGGATTTGACTACTCATAAGTACCTCATGTTGAGCGGAATCATACAGCATTTGTCTTTTTGAGACTGGTTTATTTCATTTAGCATAATGTCCTCCAGGTTCATCCAGGTTGTAACTTGTGTCAGAATTTCCTTTCTTTTGAAGGCAGAATAATATTTCATTGTACAGATATACCATCTTTTGTTTATTCATTATTCTGTCAGTAGATGCTTGGGTCACTTAGACCATAAATTGTCTTTGAAAAATAGCAACTTAAAATACATTGTGAAAGCAGAAAGCTAACAGATAGTTTCAGTTTTATAAGATGAAAAAATCTGGCCAGGCGCGGCGGCTCATGTCCGTAATCCCAGCACTTTAGGAGGCTGAGGTGGGTGAATCACGAGGTGAAGAGATCGAGACCATCCTGGCCAACATGGTGAAACCCCGTCTCTACTAAAAATACAAAAATTAGCTGGGCGTGGTGGTGCACGCCTGTAGTCTCAGCTACTCAGGAGGCTGAGGCAGGAGAATCACTTGAACCCAGGAGGCAGAGGTTGCAGTGAGCTGAGATTGCGCCACTGCACTCCAGCCTGGGTGACTGAGCGAGACTGTCTCAAAAAAAAAGAGAAAAAAATCCTGTGGATGGATGGGGTGATGGTTGCACAACAATGTGAATGCACTTTATGCCACTAACTGTACACTTAAAAATGATCCAAATGGTATATTTTATGTATATTATAATTTCAAAAAATAATTTTTAAAAATGCTATTATCTGCACATACCTTTAAATCTGCTATAAAGGCTAGTGTTGTTACATAACAATTTACATAATACATTTCTCTCAGAGTTTTAAGTTAGGAAAAAGTTTGCTTTTTCCAAGGAAGGGAGATAGTTCCTTTTAACAGACAATGAGCTATGTAACTCAGGTTTTCCTATTGCCTCCCTGCCTTTTTGCCTACAGATGAGTTGTATGCTCGCCTGAAGTAGCTTTCTTCCTTTAAACTGAAGTTTCTGATATAATCATCACGTTCCACAGCCAGCTCCCACTCCATTACCCATTTAATCTGGCTCTGATCTTTTTACTCATTTTAATTTTCACCATATACAATTGGTCCTTGAACAACATGGGTCTGTATTGCGCAGGTATGCTTACACACAGATTTTCATCTATCTCTGCCACACCTAAAACAGCAAGACCAGTCCCTTCTCTTTCCCAGGCTTCTTATGCAACATGAAAATGACAAGGATGATGACCTTTATATGATGATTCATTTCCACTTAATGAGTAGTAAATATATTCTTTCTTATGATTTTCTTAATAGCATTTCTTTTCTCTAGCTTTCTTTATTATAAGCATATAGTATACACTACATATAACATACAAAATATCTGTTAATCATTACTTATGTTATTGGTAGGGTTTCCAGTCACCAGTAGTCTATCAGTAGCTACATTTTAAGGGAGTCAAAAGTTATAGCAGATTTTTTTTTATTGCCTGAGGGTTGGTCCCCCAATCCCCATGTTGTTCAAGGGTCAACTATAGATGCTTTTATTACATATCTCCTTTGAAAACTGGGTAGCATATAATTAATACATTTTAGTCCTGCCTTACACTCATTTAAAACAAGCAGAGACCCCAACTAATAAAATAACATGAATATATGAGACTTTAAACTATTTTTATTACATATGTAATTATCATACTGCAAATTCCAAAGATTTTCTTTTGATTTACCTAGCAGAGTATTATTAATCAAGTTATCACTAAAATAAAGGCATTCCTTTGGGAAGTCAGAGGAATACAGTCCAGACATACAGTTTGTCCTCCAAATCCTTGAGTTCTGCCTCCTTGGATCCAACCAACTTCAGATCAAAAATAGTGAAGGTGAAAAAATAGAAGAACAGCAATACAACAATAAAAATAATAGAGATTAAAAAACAATAGCACAACAACTATTTACGTTGTCTTAGGTACGAGTAATCTAGAGATGATTTAAAGTATATGGGAGGATGTATGTAGATTGTATCCAAATGCTATGCCATTTTATGTAAGGGACTTGAGCATCTTTGGATTTTGATACCTTTGGGGTTGGGGTCCTGGACCCAATCCCCTGCAGATACTGAGAGAAAACTTACCTTTTTAGAAATCTAGCTTAATGGAATGATAAGCTTTAGATAAGGTTAAGAGCAGTGCTGTTCAATAGAAATATAACATGAGCCTCAAATGCAGGCCACAAACATAGTTTTAAATTATCTAGTAGATGCATTTAAAAAAGGAAAAGGAAACAGATGTTATCCATTTCAATATTATATTTGTATTTAACCCACTATATGTAAAAATATTATTTCAACATGTTATTGATGTAAAAATTATTGATGAGATAGTTTACATTCTTTTTTTGTACTAAAATTTTCTAAACCCAGTATGCATTATACTTAAAGCACTTTTCAGTTCAGATCAGCCAATTTCAATTGCTCAGTAGCCATGAGTGGCTAGTGTCTAATGTACTGGACAGTGTAGATTAAAAAGAGTTAATGATTACTGTATTTGCCAATCTTCTTTGAATATCTTTTGTCTTACTAGGTTTTTTTTTTTTTTTTCTGTAAAATATAATTTAGGTGATACTGGCTTTATCAAGAATATCTCTTACTACATATCCAAAGTAAATGAAATCAGTATCTCATAGAGATGTCTGCACCTCCATGTTTATTTTACAGTATTCATCATAGACAAGATATGGGAATAACCTGAGTGTCTATCGATGGATGAATATATATAGTACATTTTCATGGCTGAACATAATGTAATATTATTCAGCTGTAAAAAGAAGGAAATCCTGCCATTTGCAACAACATGGACAAACCTGGAAGATATTATGCTAAATAAAATAAGCTAGGCATAGAATGTCAAATACTCACAAATATGATCTCACTTATGTATGTAGAATCTAAAATAGAAGCAAAGAGTAGAATGGTGGTTGCCAGAGAGTAGAATGGTAGGGAAATGGGGACGTGTTGGTCAAAGAGTACATAATTTCAATTATAAGATAAATAAGTTTTGGGAACTAATGTGTATGGAGACTTCAGATAACAGTACTATATTCTTGTAATTTGATAAGAGCAGATTCTTCAGTGTGTTCATCACATATACACACAGAAAAATGGTAACTATGGGTGATGATGGATGTGCTAATTAGACTATGGTAATCAGTAGACAATGTTATGTGTATATTAAATCATGTTATATACCTTGAACATACACAATATTTTGTCAAATATTAATGTTTTATGACAATTTATAAATGAATTACTACTAATGAAATTATGAAATGTATTATTTGCTATAATTATTCATAAATCGTTGTCCTCAACTCTGAAATAATGAAGGCAGATGTTGTATGGACAATTTTTATTGGAGGATGGTTGAGATGGGTCTTCTTTTGTGATGAGGGTGCCGTGGAAACAATAGCCAAAGAATGGTGTTTGGTGAGAGGTAGAGAATGGAAAGGCTATTCTGGAAAGAGTTCACAGCTAATGAAGGATTCTTATGACCTTTGAATGCTTCTTATCTAAGTGATCTGTTTTTATTTATTTACCTTGAATTAGCATGGACCAGTGAGGTTGTTTGGAAAATGAGGACAATATTTAAGTATAAAAATAGTAAGAGAAGTGGGTCAAGAAAGCTAATAATCTGTGAGCATTGTCTGTTCATGGAGAAAATCTTTGACAGATAAGATTAAGGGTTGAGTCTTCTTTTCTAGCACTTCATCTGCACGCAGATTGTGGCTTCTCTTGCCATATATGTTTGATATTGCCCATCAGTTGTTACCTCGTTTTATCTAGATAGGCATGTGAAATTATCTAGGAAATCAAAGGATTGCAGATGGAATCAGAACCACGTTGCCATAATTTCATTCTGGCTTTAGCCTTGAGTACAGTATAGACTGAATGGAGACTACTAGGCTGTCAGCCATCTGCTGCCTTCTGATAGTGCTCTACAATCATGTGTCTCTACTGCTTCTTTGCAGTGTGAATACTAGTGTAATACTACTCAGCCACAGGCTCTGAGAGAGTTAGAGAGATGTTCCTGTCTTAATAGAGATAAGTCATTTAGTGGGATAGCTCTTCGAGTCAACCAGTGTAAGTAGCAGAGACACCAAAAACAGTTAGTCTAGCCGTTAGTTTACTTTGCTTGACCCAGCAATCCACCTCTTAGTATATGCTTTGGTGACACTCATGTACTTATGTACCAGGTGGCAGGCATGTGCTAGAATTAAGATATTCATAGTCGCATTGTTTCAGATAGTAAAAAAAGTGTTATCCACAAAAAATGGATGAATTATCAGTGAAAATTACTGAACTTTGGACACACAGACATCCTGCCAGCCTTCATCAAAAAAAGTATTATTTCCTTTTTTTTTTTTTTTTTTTTTGAGACGGAGTCTTGCTCTGTCGCCCAGGCTGGTGTGCGGTGGCACGATCTCGGCTTACTGCAAGCTCCGCCTCCCGGGTTCACACATTCTCCTGCCTCAGCCTCCTGAGTAGCTGGGACTACAGGCGCCCACCACCACGCCCGGCTAATTTTTGTATTTTTAGTAGAGACGGGGTTTCACCGTTGTTAGCCAGGATGGTCTCGACCTCCTGACCTCGTGATCCGCCCGTCTTGGCCTCCCAAAGTGCTGGGATTAGAGGCGTGAGCCACGGCGCCTGGCCAAAAGTATTATTTCTTATTCTCCATCCTAACCTAGATAAGTGGAAGAAAAGAAAGAATTTTTGTGAAAAAGTCCTGATAGCTGGAAAGCTTCCTTCACTGTATCCAAAGTTATGAGAACTCTTTGGGTTGTGTCTCCAAACTGAGATTCAGAAAAACAATCACAATTAACCAGTAAATTAACAATTTTCATAGGACATGTCTAAATTTCCAAAGTGAATATAGCCTTTTATTTTTCAATCCAGCTAGCTAGCTAAGACCATCCATATCCACGCACATCATCTGGTTTAATAGATTTCTCGTTATGCTGTATTCATCTGTACATATTCTAATGTTGGAGAATTTTCCCAAATTTAAATATGATTTAGATAAACTTCACAGAGTGTCAGCAGTACTTAGATAAAGCAATTTTTTTTTTTTTTTTCTGAGACAAGGTCTCTCTGTCACCTAGGCTGAAGTGCAGTGAGGCAGTCATGCCTCACTGCAGCCTCAACTTCCCAGGCTCAAGTAATCCTCCCACCTCAGCCTCCCGTGTAGCTGGGATTACAGGTGTGTACTACCACGCCTGGCTTATTTTTGTATCTTTTTTTGTAGAAATGGGGTTTCACTGTGTTGCCCAGGCTGGTCTTTCTGGGCTCAAGCAATCCACCCACCTTAGCCTCCCAAAATGCTAGGATTACAGGCATGAGCCACTATGCCCAGCCTAGATAAAGCAAATTTTTAAATTGATTTGATACTTGATTTTACTCTCATTAAAAAAAAGAAAAGAAAAACCTGAATGCTAATTGTTAACCAACTATTGTTAAATTTTAAGGGAAACTGGGTAGCGGGGTCTTAGGTCTGATTATAAATGTTTGTCTTTTTTGGGAGCCTGTGATTTTTTCAATACAAAGCAGCTTTTAAAACATCTTGTGAGAACAGTGTTTAGGAGGAGAACAAAAGAGGGAATTCTGAATTGTAATGACAGATGTAAACATGTCTTTCATTAGGGTTCACTTTGGTTTTCTTTTCCTTTAGTGGTTTTTGGCAAATTTGTCATATCAAGAAGCACTTTCAGACACACAAGTTGCTATAGTTAATATTTTATCTTCAACTTCTGGTAAGAAATTTGTCTTTAAAACTCTGCATTATAAATCAGTGTATATATTTCTGGTGTATATGTGTGTACATATACAGCATTTTTATCTCGTTATAGCTTCTTATATTAGTTCTAATATACATTAGTCTATTATAACTGCCTTTTAATCTGTATATAGTCAGGTGCCGCATATGATGTTTCAGTCTACAACAGACTGTATATACAATGGTGGTCCTATAAGATTATAATACTATATTTTTACTGTACCTTTTCTATGTTTAAATATGTTTGGATACACAAATACTTACCGCTGTGTTACAATTGCCTAGAGTATTCAATACAGTAACATGCTATACAATTTGGTAGCCTATAAGCAATAGGCTGTAGCATATCGCGTAGCTGTGTAGTAGGCTATACCATTTAGGTTTGTGTAAGTGTGCTCTATGATGGTGGCACAAGGATGACATTGCCGAACGACACACATTTTCTCTGTATTTATCCCTGTTGTTAAGCATGACTGTAGTTTCATGCCTTAGCCTGTGCTATTTATGTTCCTTCAAATAATTTACAATTTTTTAAATATAACAATATATTACAGTTTTATAGGCTGGCCTTTTGTATTGTAGTTGCCTTTCCCTTCATACATACTTTTCCGAGATCTTTTTCTAGACCCTTTGGCTAAAATGTAATTGCTTATTTCAGAACTATAATTTGCCCTATGATAGGTGTTTTATTTTTAAGATTGAATCACTTTTCAAATCTGGAAGACAAAAGTATTTTTGAAACTATAAAAATAACTTCAGGACACAAGCTTGATTATGATGAAGTCAACATGTTACTCTGAATAAGATTTAAGTTTCCTATTAGTTTAAAATAAATAGGACTGTACTTGATCTGTACTGTTGAAATAAACATGGTTTAGTTTGGAGGCTATTTTATGCATGAACTTTAAACATTTCAGTCTAGTCATTACTTAACTGCAGTTATTTTCTTAGTTAAGAGTGACAAAAATAATTTGAAAGTTAGGTATATAATTTGCTTATTTAAACAATGAAGTTGTTAGTAAAAATGTTGACAGTATTTAAACTCATGTACCATTTTTAAATTCTTTTCTCCTGATAGGACTTTTTACCTTAATCCTTGCTGCAGTATTTCCAAGTAACAGTGGAGATAGATTTACCCTTTCTAAACTATTAGCTGTAATTTTAAGGTAAGAATATACTGTGATAGCTAGTTTACTCTGCTTAAAAATACAATGTCACAATTTCTGGTAGTGGCACCAGGGTAGTTTATATTGTAAGAGCAAAGAAAGATGTGGATAAAAGAAGGCTTTAAATGGACATGATGCTACTTAGCCCTGTCACATCCAAATTTTATTGAAACACAGCTACTCTCATCTATTTGCAAATTGTCTATGGCCATTTTAGCACTACAGAGGCAGAGTTGAATTGCAACAATGTGGCCCACAAGCCTAAAATATTTACTATCTGTACCTTTAAAAAAAAGTGTTACTTAGAAATTTTTTGTGTAAGTGTATGTTCTTAAGAATTATGTATTAAACATTGTTTAATACTTTGCTTTGAATTGGCATTTTACTAAGAGATTCAATTTCTGAGGATATAAAAAGAATTTTACATAGCAACAATCTGGAAGGAAATCTAAGCAAAGAAATCTCATTTCATCAATTGAGAGACAAGAGTGTGGCCTCAAGCCAAACCACTTGGAATCCAATCCCATCTCCATCATTATTAGTTTTGAGATCTTGGGCAAGTTCCTTACGTTTCTGTGCCAATTTTCTCGTCTGTATATTGGGGATAATAATAGGATTTCTCTCATAGGATTATTATGAGGATTGAATGAGTAGAACTTCTAAAGTGCTTGGAACAATGTGTGATACACAACAGGAGGTGCTCCCTATATTTAGCCATTATCATAATCATCATCATCTAAATGGAAACAAAACCCCTGGTTTCTAAATATATTGTGGATACTCAATAAATAATAGCTGAATCTGAATATGAACAATGATTATTATAGAAAATTGTGATGATTTAATTGAAGGGTATGCATATTTAATGTAAGGACTACATTTAAGTTCTGATGACATCTTTCCATAAGGGAATACATATTTTCTTTCATCTTCTCCTACTGCCACCCTGGTCTTTCTGATCAGGGTGAGAGAATTAGGCTTTTTTTTTTTTAAATTAGGAATATCTCATCTACTTGAAAACATGTTACAATTTATAAGATTCATAGAAATAGAAAGACAATGTAAGTTCCCTGAGGACAGGAACCACATCTGTTTTGGTCACTTCTGTAACCCTGTGCTTTGCTCATATTAGATGCCCAGAAAATAACAATTGAGTTTATGAATGACCTCTGATATCTCTACAACCTTAATTCAGTCTTATTTTTATCCACTAAAATCATGAGATTAGTGAAATTGTTTAAGCACATAAGGATAGTTTTACCGTTAATTTAGATTTTACCAATAAGCAAGAGTAAGTACTGTTACATTGCTGGATTTATATGGGTTTGATATATTTTTGTAATCCAAAAGAAAGATTGGAAAGGGATGACAAGTTGGTTAATTCATTCCTAATTGAAAGACAGTTGATAGCACAGCACTTAAGAGCACTGGACTGTGGAGTAAAACTGCCTGCGTTTCAGTCTCGGCTATGTGATCTTGGTCAAGTTACCTTACCTCTTTGTGTATTAGTTTTCACATGTAAAATGGGAATGGCAGTAATAATACTTCCTTATAAGGTATAATATTGTACACGTTGTGAGGATTAAATGAGTTAATACGAATATAACACTATATTATATTGATATTGTTAGATATTGTTATTGAAATTGCTAAATTATTTGACAGTGTTACCCAAAGTTGAGATTAGTCTTGATCACTTATAAATAATTTTTATCTTTATGATTAGCCTTTTCAGAATTGTTTAGCTCATCATTAATGACTGTTATTCTCATAGCATTGGAGGTGTTGTACTGGTAAACCTGTCAGGATCTGAAAAATCTGCTGGAAGAGATACAATAGGTAAGTACTTGACTCTGCATTCTCTCTGTTAAGGGTATACAGGAAAGTTTTTTGTTAAACAAGAAAGTCAAATGTGCATGCTCACGCGCACAGATACACGTACAAAGTGTAGGCACTAGCAGGTGTTTTTTTAAACTTTTCCTTGGGAAACAATATTAAAAAATGCATAAGTATTTTAGTGAATTCTCATAGCCTTCACCCAGATTTTTCAACTGTTAACAACGTACATAACTATTATACAGTTATAAAAATCAGGAATTAACATTGACTCTAATACTGTTATCTATAAAGCCTTTTCAAATTTTGCCATTTTTTACACTAATGTTCTTTTTCCGATCTAGGATCATTTATTGCATTTAATTGTCATGTTCCCTTAGTTTCCTTTAAATGCAGAACTGTTTCTCAGTCTTCTTTTATGACCTTGACACTTTTGTAGGGTCCCACCTAGTTGGTTTGTAGAATGTTTCTCAATTTGTATTTGTCAGACATTTTCTTTGGTTAAATTGAGGTTGTGCATTTTTGGTAAGAATATAATGGAAGTGATATTGTTTCCTGAGCAGTGCATTCTACCAACAGGCACAGGATATTGATTTGTCCTGTTGCTGGTAATGTTAATTTTAAGGTGGTTAAAATTAACCACCTTATTCCAGTGTAAAGTTACTAATTTTTCCCATTGTAAGTAATAAGCATCTTGTCGGGGATTCTTTGAGGCTATACAAATTTCCTGTTGCTGTCATATCACCCAGGAATATTGTCATTCCCTCTTGATTCTTGTCTGAAACAGTTACTGCTATGATGAACACTTAGTTTTTGATCCATTGCTTAGACTTAACAAAAACGAAGATAAACAGAACCTAGCTGGGCTGAGCATGGTGACTCATGCCTGTTAACCCAGTGCTTTGGGAGGCCAAGGTGGGAGGATTGCTTGAGGCCAGGAGTTCAAGACCAGCCTGGACAGCACAGTGAGACCTCATAATAAAAAATAAACCTATATTAATTATTTCTCTTTGGATACTTCTTTAGATATTTGAGGTTTATTGAATAGAACAATGCTTTCTAAATTATTCCTAACTACTACCCAGTGAGCTGTGCTTTGAACCTCCTCACCTCTTTCTCACCCAGAGCAGCTTTGTGTATACAAATACATAAAACAATATATGTATTTGGTATGTGCATGTGTGTGCAATATTTTGTTGACAAAAGCTTTAAAAAAGTTTGAAAATAATAAAAGATGTAATAAAACATTCATCTTTTGAATAATTGATTAAAGTATTGAATATGACCACTTGGCAGAACATTATTTAGCTGTTTTGAAAGGTTTAAATGTTTTTGAGAGAGAGTTAATGAAGAGAATCAGTATTTATTATTCATGTACTGTGAGAGCTGTATTATGTTAGCTATTTTGGAACATTAAAAAGTATAAATTATGTGTTTGTAGTTTTCAAGGAGTTCTTGATTTGGAACAATAAGAGATTTATAAAATGAAGCTACTAGGGATTAAACTAATACCATACTTGACAATAGTAAGTATTGTCTAAAACAGAAGACAGAATGGAAATGCAGCAGATTAGAAAGAGGATGATTTGTGGAAGAAATGAAACTTTAACAGAGCCTTTAAGATGGGAATGGTAGTGCAATACATATTAAGAATGATATATGGGGGTAAGGAAGACAATACAAGCAACAGCTTAGTGATGGAAAGAAACATTTGTTAAGTTGGAAAATGCCAGGTGTCAAGATTGTTTATGTAGGGTAAAATAAGAAACATGCATTTCCAAATTAAAAACAAAGTGTTACTTTTTAGTTGTATTACTATAATATGTATAGGTTTTGGTCAGATCATTGAGGTGAATGCTTTTGCATTTATTTGTTAACACACTAAACTCCTTCCTGTACTCCTAAAAGACGTGGATGGGGTAGGCTATACCTTTTCATTATATATCTTTGTGTCAATATAAAGGTGATTTATCTAATTATATATCTTTTCACTTTTGTATATTCTTGCAATATTATCTGATACATTATTGGATTTTAAGTGTATATTGAATGAATTAATGAGTGGTTGCTTTAAATCATGTTGATTTTTACAGGTTCCATTTGGTCTCTTGCTGGAGCCATGCTCTATGCTGTCTATATTGTTATGATTAAGAGAAAAGTAGATAGAGAAGACAAGTTGGATATTCCAATGTTCTTTGGTAAGAATATGTTTAACTTGTGAGGCTATTTACTGTAAATGTCTAACACAGGGTTTTGCTTTTGTTTTTTTGGACGGAATAGGGAACGCTTTTTTTTTTTTTCTTCCATATGATTCTTTAAAACCATTTAAAGATTATGAAGGCCGATCCCAATGTTTACTTTATCCTGCATGGTTGTGTACCTATGAGGGAATGCCCATCTCCTTAGTGTGTGACAGAAACTCCTAACACTTTTTTCAAATTGATGTCTTCAGACTGCAAGTCAGATATTTATCTCAGCGATATGACAGAGTTATGCTCTTATAAGCATGTGAGAGTTTACCTGCTGTATTTTACATTTTGCCAGTTTTGAATAGTTAGCAAAGGATTGGGGAGACTGCCCCCAAATTATATGTTTAACGCTCTCACAGTCTATGTACTTATTTACATTAAAAATTGTGGGCCATTTAAAGGGTTTTCATTTGCATTTTATGTTTAAGACATAGACACTTTTATAACATAGATTCCTTCTCAAATTACCCAATTATAGTTTCTAGATATGGTTTATAAATTTTCCTTTGCCTAACATCAGTTCAGGAAAGAACTGGCGATATCTGTAGGACTGCAGAAGAAGAACGCATTGACAAGCTATCTTCAAAAGATATCTGAATATAAATAGATAAAGAAGCTCAGTGATAAGAGTTCAAAGTGCAGCTTACAAGGAGTCAGGAGACCTGGAATCCAGCTGTTGTAACTTTATTTATCTCATAGACATCTGGAATATGAGGAAATTGGACTAGATAAATGGCCTCTAAACTGTGATTTAGGGAATAGATAGGCTCCCGGGATGGTTGGAAGGAAATAGAGTTGCATGCAGGGGTCTAGTTCTTGGACTCCTTTGCTGCTTCACCTGTGGAACAGCTCTACTTTGTTGAGCATTTTGCATTAGAATTTAATTTGTAGTAAAGATTTTTCTTATGATTGGGCATGGTGGCTCACTCCTGTGATCCTAGCACTTTGAGAGGCTGAGGCAGGAGGGTTGCTTGAAGCCAGGGATTTAAGATCAGCCTGGTCAACGTAGGGAGACTGCATTTCTATTTAATTTTTTTTTTTAAAGACTATTTTAAAACTAAAAATAGTTTAAATACTTGTATCTGAAGACTAACAAAAATAAAATGTTTGAAAAGCCATGAGGCTGAGTGATTGCTTAAATTCTTTTTAAATACAGAATTCAAGAAATATAGCTTAATAGCCAGGTTTGGTTGCATGTGTCTGTAATCCCAGCTACTTGAGAGGCTGAGGCAGGAGAATCACTTGAGTCCAGGAGTTCAAGTCTGCAGTGAGCTATGATTGTGTCTCTGCACCTTAGCCTGGGTAACAGAATAAGATGCTGTCTCTTAGAAAAGATAATTTTAATGGTATTTTATTTGGCAGTCATAGAAAATTTTATTTGGAATGGAATAAAATGCTAGTTTTTTTTAGGGTTTTAGGTAGGTGATTGGGTCAGTGGTACTTTTTAAAAATTTAAACGTTGACAACTTGCAAGAAAAATTGCTTAATTTACTCATATTAGGGAGAGTGCATATAGACATGTAGCTTGTGTTGGTCCTGTTCATATGTGATGTGATATGTAAAGCAATATTGATCTGCCCTGGGCTTTAGAATAGACAGGATTTGGAGAAGTCAGGGTTGGGATATTGGGGGCTCTTCAGGCAAGGGAGTTTGAGCAGAGGCTTAACGCGGAGCAGTGAGTAGATCTGAATGATTGTGCTGGAACTTCGCTTTGTGGAAGAACAGAAAGGTGTGTGGTGCCAGATTCTGGGCAGTCTAGGGAATAGGTGGAGTCATTGGGACTTTTGTCTTTAGGTCAAAGGATGTTAATTTATGTGGGATTTCATAGACTCAGCACTTCAGGGACCAGAAAATAGGTTCAGTTCTTGGTAATGCCACATTTTGGTGTTTCATTAAAACAACTTTGTAATGTTATTTAAGCATTTTAGGTCATGTGTCCTGTATATGTGTTCTTTTGTTGTTGTTTTTTTAATGAATAGATGTCTGAAGGTTGTGTATTAGTCTGTTTTCCCACTGCTATAAAGAACTACCTGAGACTGGGTAATTTATAAACAAAAGAGGTTTAATTGACTCAGTTCTGCATGGCTGGGCAGGCCTCAGGAAACTTACAATCATGGCGTAAGGTGAAGGGGAAGCAAGGCATGTTTTACACACTGGCAAGAGAGAGAGAACTTGCGAAGGGGGAATTGCCAAACACGTTAAAACCATTAAATCTTGTAAGAACTCACTATGATGTGAACAGCATGGGGGAACCGCCCCAATGATCCAGTCACCTCCCACCAGGTCCCTCCCTGACACGTGGGGATTACAATTCGAGATGACATTTGGGTGGGGACACAGAGCCAAACCATAATAGTTGGGCTCCCTAAAACAGGATATGAGATGGGGAATTTGTGTAGGTGATTCATTGTGGGGAGTTCACTGAAGGAAAAACTTGGAGTGAAGGAAGCAAGATAGAGAAGGGGAAAGAACCAGGTGGCACACAAGTATAACTGAGGTTTGGCCCAATTCATTGCAGGTGCTGGGGCGGGGAGCAGAGGGAGAGCAGCTAATATGTCTGGGCCTTGAGCCATGATGGCCGGCCTCATAAAGCCTCCATCAATTAGTCATGAGCTGCAGAAGATGGGGTGGGGTGGAGGGTGGGAACTTGCTGGGAAAGGCAGACTTATTTGCCCCTCCCTTCACAGAAGTGGGGTGGCTGTGAGTCTTTAGCATCAGATAGAGAGTGGGTGCTCCTGCCCTGTTAAGATTTAATTAGGCATCCTAATTACCGGTTTATTATTTAGGTGACATAGTATCAATTATATATCTACTGTAATTTAATTTTCTTTTAAGAAAGCTATATAGTTACCGCATAAATCATATAGCAAATTTGTGACATAAACTACATAGAAAGTACAACAAAATTTATTATACAGTTGTAATCTTTTTTCTTTATAGTCTTTACTTTCACATGTATATAGTCATATATAAACTTAATTTCTATAGTAATATTTGCTTTTATTAAATGCTTACTTTGTGCCAGATACTATGCTATATTTTATGTGTTTAATCTTGCCAGCAACCTAATTAAATATTATTAAATTTTATTTTATGTTTATAGATTGGAAAACTAAGGCTTAAAAGAGGTATAAGGTTCGCACTACTATTCAATGATAGATAGAGCTGGGATTGGACCCAGGCAGTCAGACTGCCGAGCACACACTTAACCACTATGTGGGATGGCTTTCCTTAATAACTGGTCAGTCTGTACTTTGCTCATATGTTGAATAGCTCTTTGTGTGTACAAACTTTCTCACTAACTAGCTAGAAGTCTGGGAATGCAGGAACCAAGAGTTTTATCTCCTTTGGAACTTCTTCCATTACTGCTCGCGTAGCACAAGTGTTTTGGACATAAATACTTGAATCAGAAAGCAAACCATCCAATTCTTTAAAATTAATTTAGGCTGAATACACAAACACATACATACCAGTTATTTCTTTTAAGTTCTAGGGCACTATATTGTCAGTTGCTAAGGCTAACAGCCCTTCTTGTTGAGTTGTCCTAAGTGGTTTACTCCACAGTAGTTGCTCCCATACAGTGGGATAGTTGAACTGACTGATCACCAGTTGCTTCAGGCAGTTTTCTTTTTATGGTTTTGAGCTATTCACAGGACTGACTTAAAAACAAACCAACAGAAGGTTTAGCTAGTGAATTCTCCCAGAGTGCTTTTGTGCAAAATCTAATTTTGATTTTAGAGTTAATAAGCTTGGAGAATAGAAATAAATCACAATTTTAACTTTTGTTTCTTTTATACATGTTCAGGTTTTGTAGGTTTATTTAATCTGCTGCTCTTATGGCCAGGTTTCTTTTTACTTCATTATACTGGATTTGAGGACTTCGAGTTTCCCAATAAAGTAGTATTAATGTGCATTATCATTAATGGCCTTATTGGAACAGTACTCTCAGAGTTCCTGTGGTTGTGGTATGTACTGTTTATTCTCCAATTATTAATTATCAGTTGATTAATTTTTGTATATTTTAAGCGTTTATATTTTGTCTGTTTGCTGGTGGCCCTTCCTGTGCACCCCATTCTGCAACACACGTAAAACTGAATACTTTAACTCCACTAGAGCAGGGACTTTGTTTTTTAACTTCTGTGTGCCCATTCCAGAGTAGTGCCTTGTCCACAGGAGGAGCTCAATAAATACTTGTTGAATGAAGGAATGAATATGAATGGTCTAAATCTGTAAAAATGTTTTAGAAAGTGGAGTATTATGCAAATGAAAGTAGTCATTATCTAATGGATATCCAAATGTATGAGTTATGTATGCCAAGTGTGAAGGCATGAGTTCTAATTGAGAATCCAGGAGATGGTGCTTATTTAAGAGGCTTTGGAATATCTGTTTGCTTGTTCATAGGTGTTTTTGTTTTATTTATTTTCAGGACCTTTCATATCGGTGAGCCAGATATGTAAACCTTAAACTCTGATTGATTTGAGATGTTGACATACTTTGATATGCTATATATCCAATATATTGATATGCAATAATAAACTTAAAATAATTTGAAGACAGTATCATGTATGGAGTTTGAGAAACCTTTCAAATAACAGAGCTTTCTACTTAGTCCTATTTTTATTTAATAGAAACTTAAATAAATAGAATGAATAAAACATAAATGAATAAAATGAATTTTATTACATACCCATTGAAACTGTTAACTAGTTTTCCCTTGTGAAAGACTGCAACAGAAATGGACTTTTTTTGTGGAGTCTTCCTTAATGCTCTGCCTATACTGCTGTGCCTCCCTGCCCAGTTAAGGAATATCTGTTTTCTTGGATCCCCCATATTCACTCTCTTTTGTGTAATACTTGAAGATTTACTTTGTATTGTAGTAATTTATGTTCTTATCTAAACTCCTTTGCTGATCTAAAATTCTTTAAAATCGTAATCCATTAACTCATTAATTTTTTCATCTTTAATTATATACATTTTAGATACTCGATTGTTTTAACCTGAACTATTAACAGATGACAAAAGGCTTTAGCCATCAGCTAAATTGGATCCACCTTAAAAGCTGGATTAAGTCAAACAGGCTTTATAATTCTACCTTCCAGGTTTTTTTTATTTTTATTTTTTATTTTTAGACGGAGTGTCGCTCTGCCACCCAGGCTGGAGTGCAGTGGCCGGATCTCAGCTCACTGCAAGCTCCGCCTCCCGGGTTCACGCCATTCTCCTGCCTCAGCCTCCCAAGTAGCTGGGACTACAGGCGCCCGCCACCTCGCCCGGCTAGTTTTTTGTATTTTTTAGTAGAGACGGGGTTTCACCGTGTCAGCCAGGATGGTCTCGATCTCCTGACCTCGTGATCCGCCCGTCTCGGCCTCCTAAAGTGCTGGGATTACAGGCTTGAGCCACCGCGCCCGGCCCAGGTTTTTTATTATAGTACTCTGCATGACAAATATCCAAGAACATATGCTATATTTGACCCCGAACGCTCTTTTCACAGAGCAGCTAAGTAGTGGGAACCACAAGTACTTAAATTCCCTTTACCTCATCAAAAAGGACTAATTGTTCAGCCTCTGTTCAGTACTTCTAGTGACACTTTATTGAGAGATAGCCCCTTTTATTGCAGGACAGCATTATTAATTCTGACATATACTGAGCTAGATTTTACTTGCCTATAACTTCCATGGATCTGTAGTCCTAACGATATACATTATGGTTTTGTCTTGGCTTATAATTCATTTTCTCCTTATAAACCCAAATTATCAGTCTTTATAAATGGCTCATCTGTCTCCATTGGGTATAATATTTTCTTTCAATTCAACAAAATTATATGCAGATAGATATTTCAAAATTTCATACCCACATTGATAATTCAAGGTAAAATTAAAGAACTTAACTTTTGGTTAGGACAATTGTTAGAAAAATGGAAAACAACAAGAAGATATTTTTAAAGAATATTCAAGCCTTTCTTTTTTATGCCAAGCCAAATCAAAAGAATAACACACTATTTTAGTGTTCATGAAGGTGAGATATTTTTGCTTGGTGACAGAATCACATGTTGGCTTATCACTTCCTTAAAGTCTATGTGTGAAGTATTGTCCTGCAACATTAATATTGCTGTTTTCTTTGTTATCTACGTATCATCACAAAACTGTAACAACTGTTCAACAGTTTTTTAAAAAAATTAATGAAATATAAGCTATAAACTCAAAGTTGAATGTCTGCAAACAGATCTTGAAAAATAGCATAAAATATTTTGAGCTTTTTATACTTACATATTTGTATTTTTAATATTTGAAGAAAAACTTTGAGAATCATCTTAATGACTTTATTGTATTTTATGTCTCAATCCATCCTAACCTCTTATCTTTGCTCCTGATCTCACAAGCCTATAAGAAAGTCTTTGTTCAGTGTTTTTCTTTGGTTGTTTAATTTTTTTAATATAGAAATGTCTATTTTCTTTTTTTTAGGGGCTGCTTTCTTACCTCATCATTGATAGGCACACTTGCACTAAGCCTTACAATACCTCTGTCCATAATAGCTGACATGTGTATGCAAAAGGTAAGGAAACTATTATTCATAGATATTTTAGGTATGTTATTAAAACAAACGTAATGAAAGTTGAGATGTGATTAAATTATAAGGATACAAACATAAATAATACTTGATGCTTTCTCTCCCAAGGTGCTTTACTACATAGAAATACAAAAAGTACCAAAGAAATAGATAATTTCCATTTTTAGCTTTTCCATTTTTTTCCCTAAATTTCTAAGTTAAGGGCATCATCTTCATATGTAGTTCTCCAGTTTTAGAGCTGATTCTGTTCCAGATGTTCTTTGGTAAGTCACATTTATCATATAAGCATTTTAGTTTCTGCGATGAACCGTATCACAGGTTCCTTAACACTGTGCTGATACTACCGAAGATATGAGCAGTACATGAATAATGTTGTTTGCAGTGAATGTTAGCCATCTCTCTCTGGACTCAGCAGAGTGGGTGTCCCATCCCTCTTCTCTGAAGGCCTAGTATGGATGCGGGGATTCTTGTAATAATATTGGCAATGCTAACACCACAGAAAAGAGAATCTGGGATGTTTCTCCCAACAGCCTAGAAGGGAAGAGTTTTTTCAGTGCTCCTAGGTGTAGCAGGAAGAACAGAGGTATGCTGTTGCGCACACTGAAAGATGGAGCATAGCCATTTATCACACAGTTCAGTAGATGTAGGCATTTAACTACAACTACTAAGTCATAGAAGTGTGTGTGTGTGTTTTAGTCTAATATAATTTGAAGAGGGAAATATTTCAAGGCCCAAAGGTTTATAATGTGTACAAGCAATAGTCAAATTTTTAAAGCTATTTTTCTTTAGGTCTTTGTGCGGTTTTTAAGATAAAAGTGGCTGGGCACCATGGCTCATGCCTGTTATCCCAGCACGTGGGAGGCCAAGGCAGCCGGATCACTTGAGGTCAGGAGTTCGAGACCAGCCTGGCCAACATAGTGAAACCCCGACTCTACTAAAAATACAAAAATTAGCTGGGTGTGGTGGTGTGCACCTGTAATTCCAGCTACTTGGGAGGCTGAGGCAGGAGAATCACTTGAACCTGGGAGATGGAGGTTGCAGTGAGCTGAGATCATGCCACTGCACTCCAGCCTGGGCAACAGAACAAGATTCCATCTCAAAAAAAAAAAAAAGATAAAAGCAAAATATGCTTAGTGCTATATATCCTCTCTATTTATAAAACAATTCTTTACTGATATTTAACTTTGTTTTATGGTTCAGTAAATTCTTATTTATTTGTCATGGTTAAAGAACTGAGATTCTCTCCTTAATTGAGAATTAATTGCCTTACATAACTTGCATTTTCATAGAATGTGGATATTCTATATAACACTAACATTACACATTATTACAAATATGAACCAAAATGGTTGTGAAACTGGGAAAGTGCTACTTGCTAGAGGATTTTCGTAGACTACTGTGTAAATCCTCTTTATTGTACTGATATTTTAAAAACATAAGCTTTTGTAGATTGAAAAAAAATGGCAGGTTAATGTTCAGGAATTTTTAAGAGAATAGTCACAGGGGACCTAAATTTGTTAAATGATTAGTCATTTAATAATTATCATTACAAATAATAATGGTTATAATTTGTTTAATAAAGTATTTTAGGATAAAGGCAAAACGGGAAAATGTATGTACAAGCAATTAATTATGAAAACATAACTAAACTTTAACTGATTGCCGAGTTCTAGATATGAAGACAATCAGGAAAAAGATCTGGTTTTCTTGATTGTCTTCACATCTAGAACTGGGCAATCAGTTAAAGGAGTAGGCTGTGCGTTGGTGTTGGGATTGAGGTTAGGGAGATTCCATCTGGAAAAAGAAGCAGGGTGTGTCCAGAACTGTGACAGAAACATGATAAGAGAAATCTACTTTTATAGGGTTTGAGGTTCACTTAGCTAACTGTATTTATTTATAGCTTCTGAAATGTTAGCATTTATTAACATTATTGTGCTTGAAACAAATTGGTTATTCAAGTCTATTTATAATTATTTTATATAATAGGAAGCATCCCTGATCATATTCTATTTTATATTCAGATATATTTAGGAATTAGAAAACAATTTTTTGTTTACATAGGTAATTTTCTTTGTTGTAGTAAGTGGCTTCGTTTCTTTTATCATAGCTTGTTGGAAATCAAATTAGAAGTTTTTTATTATGAGAGAACATATACACGACTACATTGTTGCAAGCAAACTTGCCTTCTAAAGTCTTCTAGGGCTTTATCTGTCTTTATTAAGTTTGCTTTGATTCAGTTATGAAAGAAGGTTTTTAGTTGAATATTCATGAAATCATTCTGTCAACTATAGCTACATTTTTAATTGCATTATTTATAACTTCTTAATACCTTTTCTGATCTTGGGTAATTTAAATACAGCATGGTTTTTCCTGATTATTAGTCATTCTGGCAAATATTCCAGGAATATGTTAAAATATATTGGTAATTTCATAACTAAATGAAGACTTTTTAGTTTAATGACTATTGTTTCTGGGGTGTTCTCAGGCTGACTCAGTCACCGTGGATGAATACCATACAAATAGGGCCTGCATGTTAAAAATCGCCGGTTATTATTCTTGTGTTATGTACTGTGAGTTCCCTCATAAAAGACATTATGCTCACAAAACCCCTTTACTCTGACTAATGGTGCTATGAAGTGGAATAGTATATGTTTTCCACCAGAGGGAGTCTTGCCTGTGATTCCAGACTTTTTTTTTTTGGAGTTCTCAAAGAGGGCAAACACAGTTTTCCTTCCCTATTTTACAGATAGAAGTTACTATTTTCATCATTTTTTTAAAGCAAACCTCCTGTGTGCTGAACTTAAGTTTCAGTAGCTGATCAGTGTAGGCTTCTTTGACAATTGTCTCTGATCTTTAGTTGAGTCTGGATGGTAAAAGTGAACTAGTGAAAGGGAAGAATTAGTTTTGTTTTGGTAACTTTATGGCATCTCATTATTTTTTATTTTCTTTTTATGTATATATTTGTTTTCTTGTTTATTTTTTTCTTATTTTTTTTTTATTTTAATACCTCCACCCTACTTACAGATATTTTTTATTTTCTTGACAACCCTGATAAATGATGGATTGGAGGATCACACTTGTTGACATCAGAGGGCCCTTCACTGATGAGGCTTGTCTTGTTGCTTGTCTTCTCTGACTAATATTCCTTAGTAAAAATATTCCTATATTTTTTTCTTTATTTTACTCAGTCATTATTTCATTTTGAGGTTTTTTCATTTATTGCTAGTTTTGAGTGTCATAAATTTGCACTTAATTTGTTTTTGGTACTGTCATAAGAACTGTAGCATACACAGGATAGTACAACTATAAGTTTTTACGAAAATGTACATTTTTTGAAGATGACTGTGGAAATTGAGGAAGAGAGAACTATTTGAGACCAGGCAGCAAACAGTGAAAAAGGAATGAGCAACATGGTGTGCAGGACCAAAGTTTCATACTGTATATCGCTACTCTCAGTGTGCAATGCCTATAAATGGAAAGTATGTTTTTTTGGCTTTCCTTTAGCCTGTTTTCCAAGCAAGAACTATTGTTGTTGGTAATTTAGGTACATGGAATTGTAAGTTGAAGTCTTGAATTCTTACTTAATAATAATACACTTAATACACCGTCAGTGTTTAATTTTGTCTTCCCGTTGTTCTTATTCCTGCTAGTTGTCACAAATAGAAAACTTACATTGAAGGGGGAAATTGCCTTAATGATAATTGTGGGTGTGTTTTTTCCTCTATCTTTTATTTTTAGGTGCAGTTTTCTTGGTTATTTTTTGCAGGAGCTATCCCTGTATTTTTTTCATTTTTTATTGTAACTCTCCTATGCCATTATAATAATTGGGATCCTGTGATGGTGGGAATCAGAAGAATATTTGCTTTTATATGCAGAAAACATCGAATTCAGAGGTAAGTTTAGTCCCAATACACATTTTTTAAAATAGTGTTTGCTAGATAACTGAGAATTGCATCATGCTGGCCTAGCTTTTAGAGATTTTGTGAGGAATTATTGAAATATGATAACTTATATGTTATGGCAGATAAAAATAAAATAATTTGTTTAGATCTTTTGGGTAATAAGATTCTTTCTCTTTCTCTCTCTCTTTCCTTTTCTTTCTCTCTTTCTTTCTTCTTCTTTTCTCTTTCTTGACAGAGTCTTGCTCTGTAGTCCAGCCTGGAGTGCAATGGTATGACCTCAGCTCACTGCAACCTCTGCCTCCTGGGTTCAAGTGATTCTCTGCCTCAGCCTCCTGAGTAGCTGGGATCACAGGCACACACCACCATGCCCAGCTAATTTTTGTATTTTTAGTAGAGACAGGGTTTCACCATGTTGGCCAGGCTGGCCTTGAATTCCCGACCACAAGTGATTTGCCTGCCTAATAACTACAATTTTTAAAAAAAGTTTTGATTCACAGGTAATACCAAAAGGTTTACTGTTTTGCCATAATGAACTTAAATATAGAAGACTTTTATTGGTTTGAACATAATTCGTGATCGAATAGTATTGCCTCAATTTTTCTTTCCAATTTCTTTCTATTTAAGAATGAAAGCTTTTTATATTTTGCTATGAAAAGAACTTGATTCCAGTGACTCTGGAGGCTGAGGTGGGAGGATTGCTTGAGGTTAGGAGCTCGAGACCAGCCTGAGCAACATATCAAGACCCTGTCTCTAAGAAAATAAAAAAAAATTACCCAGACATGATGGCATATACCTGTAGTCCCAAGCTACTTGGGAGGCTGAGGTAGGAGGATCACTTGAACCCAGGAATTCAAAGCTGCAGTGAACTATGATAGCACCACTACACTTTAGCGTGGGTGACAGAGTGATACCCTGTCTCTTATTTAAAAAACAAAAAGTGAGACCCTATCTCTTATTTAAAAAACAAAAACAAAAACTGCTAACTTGGTACAAGTTCTTGAGAAATTTTATCCTAGTGTTGGTTCTGCCACTGACTTGCATCCTGCCCACATAGCTTCAGCCAATGGAATAAATAAGGTTTAAGGTTCCTTTTCAGCTCTAAAGCTTTCCTTAATTATTGACTTTTTTTTTTTTCTCAAGAGTTCCAGAAGACAGCGAACAGTGTGAGAGTCTCATTTCTATGCACAGTGTTTCTCAGGAGGATGGAGCTAGTTAGCTGTTGTCTGTAGCCCAGGTTTGTATGTGAGCTGGGTTTACTATTGAATATGATTCTTATTTGTGTAATATTCAAACAAAGGATTGATTTTTTTTTTTTTTTTTTTTTTTTTGAGATGGAGTCTCACTCTGTTGCCCAGGCTGGAGTACAGTGGCACAAACTTGGCTCACTGCAAGCTCCGCCTCCCAGGTTCATGCCATTCTCTTGCCTCAGCCTCCTGAGGGACTACAGGCGCCCGCCACCACGCCCGGCTAATTTTTTGTATTTTTAGTAGACATGGGGTTTCACTGTGTTAGCCAGGATGGTCTCGATCTCCTGACCTCATATCTGCCCGCCTCGGCCTCCCAGAGTGCTGGGATTACAAGCATGAGCCACCACGCCTGGCCAGGATTGATTTTTATAATTAGTTGTTTGAGAGGCCATACAGCCTTAAAGGCTAAAGGGGCTAAAGCCTGGGCTCCAATTCTATCTTCTGCACATACTAGCTGTGTGGCCCGATGCAAGGTTCTTAATCCCTTGGTGCTCTGGTTTTCTTATTTGTGAAATGGGATTACAATAGAACCTCCCTTATAAGGGTGTTAAAATAGTAAATACTTGGTAAATATAAAGTATATACAATAGTGCCTGACTCAAATGATCAGGAAGTTTTAACTCTTATTTTTATTCATGCTAAGGGTCATTTTATTTAATAATATGCTTTAGAAAAATATTTTTTCTCTGATGATAAAAAAGTAAGAAAAATGTAATATTCTGGTGTACAATATACTGGTTGGAAAATACTAGTCTTTTATGTGTGTGTTTTACATAACTGGCACAGTGTATATCCTCATTCTCTGACATTGCTTTGTCATTTAATAATGCTTCTGGAATATTTTCCCATTTTTTACATTTTAAGAAATAGTGTCTTCTATATGTCTTTGATGGTAGAGCACATGACATTTTGCTGAATGGATGCTTGAATTAAATGCAACATACATATTTTGCAGGTACAAAAGTGATTATTTAGAATGAAAGATCACAATAAACTACTAGAATTCTGAAGATCCAGGCCCCTTTTTCTGAGACATCTTTAGGCAATTTATATTGAAATGTTTCTTGATTGCTACTGAGTTTTCCCTCCCTATCTAGAACATTGTACAACTCCTGTCAATTGTTAACACTTATGTTGGGCTTGAAGTTTAAGTTTCATTATCCTCATGGTAAACTTGCTTCTAACCTACGGCTAACGGTCCTGGTTATCTGTTTTTCTTGAGTGGGCTGTTTTTAAATCTAGTTTATACTGCACATGGTTTAAGCTCTAGTTCTCCAAGACTTTTTGTACAAGGCAGCTACCCCTGCCCTTCCCTGGCCTGCCCATCCTGCTTTCATTCTCTTCCCACTCTGAGGAAATTAAACTCTTAGCTGATTCCTTTGGTGTTTTCCTTCTTGTCTCCCTAAGTATCATGCTTATGACTTCTGTTCCATGAGTTCTCAGTTTTAGGCATCTTCTGCTGACTTTTCCACTGAGATCAATGAAGACAGATTATTTTCAACTTTACTCCTCCTCTGCTCCCACCTCACATGCCTCCTATCTCCATATCAGTTCTGCCTCCTCATCATCCCTGTATAGTTATTGCATAATTTTGGATAGATCTGTAGTCAGTGTTTATACTGCTGCAACTAAAAAATTGTTACTTATAACTGAGCCATGTAGGATTTTTCCTGGTATTTCCCTTATGCAGAGATCCTCTGTTACTACCCTTTTTGGAGAATAAACCTTAAAGTCTTCTCCTGGGTTAGAGAAAAGGCACTTGGCCAACTGTGAAAAGTAAGAGAGGGCATCTGAGTGTCTCTCTGCTTTTGCTATAGACATTATACCAGTCTTCCTGTTTGTAGTTGTTTCTTCATCCCTCCTTACAGAGATATCTGGTCTTATTTTTCCATTGCTAACTAAGAGTTGGCTGTTATTTTCTCATTTCTCTACTTTTCTTTTTGTCCATGTGGTTTATTCCTTTTAAGAAAAAAATTCCAAGCTGGGCACAGTGACTCATGCCTGTAATCCTAGCATTTTGGGAGGCTGAGGAGGGAGGATCACTTGAGCTCAGGAGTTTGAGACTAGCCTGGGCAACATAGTGAGACCTTACTTCTATTGAAAAATATATATATTTTTTAACCCTTTATTTTCTTTTTAGTGAGGTTTTGGAGAACAAGTGGAACTAAATATGTGTTTATGTGCCATCTTTAAATTTAAAAAAACCATAAACACAATTATAGTAAGTCCTCACTTAACATCATCAATAGGTTCTTATAAACTGTGACTTTCAGCAAAATTACAGCAAAACCATTTTTTTTTTTTTTTGCATCAACATTATAATGTAACAACACTGAACAAAACAATGTTATTCGGGGACCTAAAGTCAGTTTCCTAGAACCTGTGACATTAAGTGAGGACTTTGTATTCTTGAAAGCTTTTTAATGCTGTAATTTATGCATTATTTTTCTTGGGTATGCTGTGCATTGTTCTCATACTCACACTTAAACCCACCCATATCCAGCAAGGTTTCAGTATTTTTAGAAGTGAGAGCTGGGTAAAGAAGAAAGAGTGAAGACTAAAGAAGATGGATTGCAACAGAGTAGAATAGACTGGGCAAGTGTCTTTGTCTTTGCAGGAGTAATGGTGGAATATACCAGGAGTAAAACTAACTGCTAATACACAATCTCTCGTGTCGATGTCAGCTTTTGACATTGCTATAGAAGTCACATTCATAAGTTCTTAGTACTCCAAATTTGAGTATCCAGTTATTAAGTATGTATACCGTGAAAATAGGTATTTCATTTTAAGATAATTTGCTTTTTAAAATGTAAACTGTAGAAAAGTAAAACTATGAAATTATAATCTAATCACATTTCTGTGGTTTTTGTTTTTAGCACGATAATGGAACTATACAGCGAAGAGACAATCTCTGGCAAGTTTTTGTAGAAAACATGTTTCAGTGCCTAGTCTGAAAAATAACAGTTTCAGTTCTTTGAAACTCTAAAATATATTTTTCTCATACCTGTTTTCTTCATTTTCATAATGAAGCACTTTGCTATGTAGCTGTGTACATATCACTACAGTTCTAGGAAGTTCCAGTCTACAGTCCATCCAAAGGACCAACCTGCCTTACACATCTCAAGGAGTTCAGCTGTTGAAATCATTTGAACTAATCAAGGAATAAATCCTAATGTTCCAGGACTTTATTTTCACATACTTGTTAAATGCTGGAATATATTATAAAAATGTTTTCAAGAAATCACTTAAGTGTTCATAGACCAGTGTTTCTGACAGGTAAAATGCTAAAATAAGCTACCTGTAGTAAGTATGGATGATATTTTTGGGTTTTGTTGAATATTGCAAATTAACCACACAAAAAATGTTTAATTTATGCAACAAGCATGTTTGTGCAAATTTCGTGGAACTTTAAAAAGAATAAATATTTGAGAAAATATCTGATTCACTTACACTACATTTACTGTATTATTCTTTTATAGCATTAGGTGCCTTGTATTTTAAATCTGTGACAAACCATGGCAAATTTTTAAAGGGGAAGTATTATTATAAAATGAAGAAATATGTATTTCTAAAGGCTATATTGCTGTAAACTTAATTGATAAAGCTCTGTTTAGAGTTTTGAAGAAATAGTCTCCCTTCAATTAAGAACTTTTCATAATGGAATGATTTAAATTGAAGTGACAAAGAGTATTATTAAAATACAATGTTTATATGTGTATTTGTGTATTATAGATGTATCAAGTGATTTCTAATTTTTTCTCATATGAATATGCCAGATTACTCTAGAACTAGATGCCTCTTCTTTAAATAATTTTAGTTTTCCTGAATAAATTTGTAATGGTTAAAGTACCAAGGAAGGAAGGCGAGAAGGGATTCTGTTTTTAAAATCACATCTGAACTGTTCCTCTACTAAGATTAAATTAAATGTGAAATACTCGTAATTGCAATTCTTAAACTTAGGCACATGTGCTCACTGTGCACCTGCTCCTGGACTCTATTCACCAGAGTACCAGTAAATGTGTGTCCCAGGATTCACAGGCTTTTGATTAATCAATATTCTTTTCAAGTTTTCTGTGAATAGTTAAGTTCTCTTCAAAATTTCTTAACTAATCTGATTTTTAAGAATTCACTTTGCAGTGTTTAGCTTCCTATTCACATTCTTAAAATTGCTTTGGTGTTACCATGAGTCAAAAATGAAGTTTAGCCTTCTTTCTGCTTCATTCTGAGAACTTCTTGATTACCTTTAAAAATTGTTTATGATATTAAATTTAAAATACAAACAGCTCTCTCTCTCTCTCTTTTTTTTAATCATCCAGCCCAAAGTGGCAAAAACAGCTCTTTTCTCATGTGGCACCACCAATAACTCAATTAAAAATAATGTTGAGTTTATTATACTTTTGACCTGTTTAGCTCAACAGGGTGAAGGCATGTAAAGAATGTGGACTTCTGAGGAATTTTCTTTTAAAAAGAACTTAAGGAAGTAACATTGTAATTACTAAAGGACTACTTTTGGTTGAAGTTTATTATCTAGATACCTCTACTTTTTGTTTTTGCTGTTCGATAGTTCACAAAGACCTTCAGCAATTTACAGGGTAAAATAGTTGAAGTAGTGGAGGTAAAACTGAAATTTAAAATTATTCTGTAAATGCGATAGAGAAAGAAGCTGAGCTTAGAATCTTTTGGTTGTTCATGTGCTCTGTGCTCCTCTCATCACACAGGTCATGTGTTGTCACTCACGATTCTGGAAGTACTAAGCCGTAGTTAACAGGCTGGATAGATCTTCAGGCAATCTTCTTCCAGTATACTGCTGCTTTTCTGTTTCTTAAAACAAAAAATCAAAGAACAACTTCTTTAGAAGGAAGCACCACCATTCAATTGGTTAACTGAAAGTATGAATCACTGCTGCTTCGCTTGCCCACCTGTTCTCTTTTTCTCACAGGTTTTATTTCTCGGAATGATTGTTGCATTTGAATACTGTAGCCATGGTGAGTGAGCACTTGAAGACTTCCTCTCTGCACCTTCATAGTTAAGGGTTCATCTTCTCACGAAATAAAGTTGTGCTGGGTTGCTTCAATTCTGTGGATTGCCTGGAAACTAGGTAACAAGGCCCTTAGATCACAACGACCACGTTGCAGGTCTTTGGAAATGCTGGGAAGGGGTTACATTCAAGTAACTGCTGACATCCTTCCTGTCTATCAGAACCATGTTGGCCTGTAATTATATTTTTCTGAATCTAAAAACAAATAGAAATTTCTGGTATCTTTTCAGTCTCCTACTTTTCTTTCTATTCATCACTTAAATCTCATTATTGTATAATGTTTCAAATTATGACCTGGATTGAAGGAAGTCTGTTTTGTCAGAAAGACTTTGTTAGGTGAACATCAGAATCTCAACCAAAACAAAGCTGAAAAATGAGGCAGACTTAAAAGTGAATGCTTTTGAAATGAGTGCTTTTTGGAGCTTAGGAGAGCCATTAGGTTTATGTAATGCACCCATACTTATTCCTTTAAATAAATTTTAATTTAAAAACATTGAGATATTGGCTTCTGTCAGCCTGATTTAATTAATTCTTTACATTAAGCTGATTTTCCCCCTGGCAGCTGACAAATAAGTTCATTGTTCTTGTAGAAGTGAGCTCACAAGGTTAAATGTGAATGTTCTCACAGGTACACAGCCCTGGTTCAGAAGAATTTTAATGCCCACTTTAAAATCAATCATGCAGAGCCAATTTGGGGTTGCAAGGTATGACTCCTCTGGAAGCCAAGTTTTTTCATAAAGCACTGTGGTAATACCCATAGCACTAATCCTCAGTGTGCTGGTTGAAGAAATAAAATGTCTTTAAAGAAGGATAAAGGAGAAATTAATTAGAAAATGTTTTTTTCCACATATTAGCAAATAAATGAAATGTTATTTTCGTATTAACTATAGTTACGATCTTACTTCATTTCTCCCTCTTCTCCTTTGAAATATTCTTTATTACTAAATAATATTTTAGGAGGAATTAACAGAAATAATTACCTGTAACATCTGCAGATAAACTTACATAGCTAACATTGTGTGCTGACTTTTTTAAATGGTGAAGTGGCATTAATGAGATGTTCAGTTTACAGAATTTGAAGTTTGAGTTCTATTTTAATAGTCTGCTGTGTCCCCAAAATCCCATTTAGATAAATTGAGGTTCATTTTTCACATAGACTTGCAATTTTTAGACACCACATTTCCTTTTTTATAGTAACAGCCTCATTTGCCTGTACAATAAGTAATAATACAGTATTTCATAGGTACATTGTATGTGCACAGGAATTTTTTCTTTAAATCTTAAGAGCCTTTAATAAACTGGGGATATTTAAGTATTTTAATGTTACTACATTTAAAAAATAGTGTTTTCCTACAAAAATTTCTGTATTCAGTATACGTTAACTATGAGAATGTCAAACAGTGAAATCATTGAAATATATTTAAGGAAAAATTACCAACCAAAAGTCATGAGTACCTTCTATATGCATATTTACTGGAATGTTCATGTGAAATGCCAGCATCTCCAATAAGAGAATTTTGAGTCAGGGGTGACACAAACATGATTTTTATTTTTGAGCTGGGGATTTTGATGGAGAAGCACCTAGATGAAGATACCATTTCATTCATGATATTTTAAAATTAGAAAAGTAAAGCTTCTAAATTGAAACTCTTATCAGGTCACTTCATGAAATTTTTAGTTTTAAATTTAATTTTACATGAGATGTCTTTCGGAAGAGCTACTTTTATTAACTTTCACTTAGATCCTTGTGTGCTAGGCATTCCGTATTTCTCTACTTGATTTTCCTGTACCTAGTTTTGATTACAGCAAGTATTTAATAATAAAGTCAGTCATGTGAGAGTATCCATTAATTTCAGTGGGTCCTTGCAAGGCAGGCAGAAGATTTCTTTCCAAGAGTCTTATTTTTGACATGAGGTGAAAATCTTTTTTTTTTTTTTTTTTTTTATTTGAGATGGGGTCTCACTCTGTCACCCAAGCTGGAGTGCAGTGGCAGGATCTTTCTGCAACCTCCCAAGCTCAAGCCATCCTCCCACCTGAGTCTCCTGAGTAGCACTACTGGCATGTGCCACTATTCCTGGCTAGTTTTTTGTATTTTTGGTAGAGATGGGGTCTTGCTATATTGTCTAATTTTTGTGTTTTCAGTAGAGATGGGGTTTCACCATGTTGGCCAGGCTGCTCTTGAACTCCTGAGCTCAAGTAATCCACCCGCCCTGGCCTCCCAAAGTGCTGGGATTACAGGTATGAGCCATCATGCCTGACTCAAACCAGTTCTTTAGATTGTTTTTGCCACCATTTACTTACTTGGAATAGTTTTCATATTTATTTTTCTTATGAAGAAATCCAGTATCAATCAGATCATGTAACATCAAAGCAAAATTTCATTGAAGGCTATCCTTGTCTTAATTATTCTAAAATAAAGTACAATAAACTAAATTATTTTGACCTTTGTAGTAGCATAGTGTTAAGTTTTATATATATATATAAATATGCATACTCCCAAGTAAAATTTCAGAGACAACATGCTGGAGAGCAGTGGCTCTCAGACAGCATCAGTATTACCTGAAGGCCGTGTTAAATACACATTATTGGCAGAGAGGGGAGAACACAGTGACTCATGCCTGTAATTCCACTGCTTTGGGAGACTGAGGCAGGAGGATCACTTGAGCCCAGAAGTTCAAGATCAGGCTGGGCAATACAGCAAGACCCCTGTCTCTACCAAAACAAAAAAACAGGCATAGTAGTGTATGCCTGTAGTCTGAGCTGCTTGGGAATCTGAGGCAGGAGGATCACTAGAACCCAGGAGTTCGAGGGTGCAGTGAGTTGTTATTGGACCACTGCAGTCCAGCCTGGGCGACAAAGTGAGACCTTGTCTATTAAAAAAACAAAAGCAAAAACTTGATTGCTGGGTGCCACCCTAGAGTTTCTGATTCAGTTGGCCTGGAGGTGGGGGTGGTGGGCCTGGGAATTTGCCTTTCTAACAAGCGTCCAGGGAATGCCCCAGCTGCTGGTCCCAGGACCACACTTTGCAAATTATTACTCTGAGAAGAGCACTAACTTTGACATTGGATTCCTTCTGTTCCTCATTAGCGAATTTATTTGGGGGAGATTATTCAATCTGGTAGATCCGCATTCACTTAGCTGTGAAGTGGGGGTTAATGCAACCTGCCTGGGACTGTGAGAATGAGAAACTCTATTTGAAATACCCAGCCCAGCGTGCCTGCGTGCTTGAAAAATGCTGACTCCCATGGTCCGTCCTCCCCTCACTCTTCTCAGCTATAAAGCGAGGAGCGAAATTCAGTATCTTCTAAGATTCTTCTTAGGTGTAAAATGCTGTGATTCTAAAAGTTTTGTAGTTCCAGAGACAATGCCAAACACCTGTGTGTACTTAGTGCTTTATAAAGAGTGGTAATAACGTGATACCACATAGGCCATAGTTTTGTTTTTGCTTTTGTTAGGGTGTTTAGCATCTTGACTCCTTAAAAGTTTTCAATCAGATTTATAAAGCAGCATTGAAGAAGTTGTATTATATTTGAGCACAGTTTGAATCCATGGCAGTTTTACGAAGGCCGAGTATATCAGATGAATAGGCTAATTTCCCTGAGTTGCTGACCTTATTAGTCCCTACCATGTTGCCCCCTGGTTACCTAATACATGTTCAAAATGTATAGTTTTCATCACCTGCTTGATCTTGATTTTCAGACAGCATCAAATCAGCTGCAAAACAAATCCAAGCTAAAATTGTGAGCATATGATTAATTTAATATAGCATGTAATTATGTAGTATTTTATTTATTTATTTTTTGAGATGGAGTCTCACTCCCTTGCCCAGGCTGAAGTGCAGTGGCACGATCTCAGCTCACTGTAACCTCTGCCTCCTGGGTTCAAGTGATTCTCCTGCCTCAGCCTCCCTAATAGCTGGGATTACAGGCATGCACCACCACGCCCAGCTAATTTTTTGTATTTATATAGAGACGGGGTTTTACCATGTTGGTCTTGAACTCTTGACCTCAAGTGATCTACCTGCCTTGGTCTCCCAAAGTGCCGGGATTACAGGTGTGAGCCACTGTGCCCAGCTATCCAGTATTTTATTTAAAAGTTGTCACTAGGGTGTTCACTATTATGAATTTATAATCTTAAAAGTTGGGGATGCTAAAAGTACCAGGCTAAAATATTACTAGGTTTTCTCCTCTTTTAATTCCATTTTGTTAGAAAAAAATAATCACAACCAGGGTTCTTTTGCCTTTCTCCAGCCATCTAGACTGCTTTACTGCAATGTCGGGAAGATTGCATACAATGAAAAGTGTAACTAGTTGATTGGGATTTGGAAAAATTGAATCAAGCATTTGCATTCATCCAGAATGGTCTTAAACTACTGACTAGGGGGTGCCCACAGGATGAGCACTGGTGGCGTGGGTGGGAGGAATTTCCCTGGGTACTGCAATTGCATTTGAAAGATCTATTTTCCAAAACCTGAGCAGAGAGAGGCTAGGAGGAATGCAGACAGGACATTCAAAATGCTAATTTCCTTTTACTACTAGAACATGAAATATCTGATAATGGTTTTAAAAAAAATAAGTGCCAGGATTCATTGTAGTATAAAGGTTCAACTAGTATAATTTAAAATGAGTCTTTATATTCAGGCCAGGCACGGTGGCTCATGCCCTTTAATCCCAGCACTTTGGGAGTCTGAGGCGGGTGGATCACCTGAGATCAGGAGTTCAAAACCAGTCTGGCCAACATGGAGAAACCTCATCTCTACTAAAAATACAAAAAATTAGCCAGGCATGGTGGTGCGCGCCTGTAGTCCCAGATACTTGGGAGGCTGAGGCAGGAGAATCACTTGAATCCAGGAGGCAGAGGTTGCAGTGAGCTGAGATAGCACCACTGCACTCCAGCCTGGGTGACAGAGTGAGACCCTGTTTCAAAAAAATAAAAAATAAAAAGTGAGTCTTCATATTCAAATTAGTATATGAGGTTAGACAAACCATTCTTATGTGGGACCAGGTATATTTAATTTGCCTTTCTTTGTAGTCATCCTAGTAAATCCTTGTAAAGGGTTGTTTTAAATACAATTTTATAGTATATTCTAAATCCCCTTTGGCAAATAAAGCTGAAGTTATCTAGTGTCAGCATATTGTGATTTGTATACTTATATAAGACAAGATTATATCATTCTGATCAAGTTGCAGCATTTTAATTTTATATGATAGGTCTGTATTGAGTAATCAGTACCTATGTGCAAATATTAAGTCAACTTAATTACCAGACCCAGAAGGCCAGAGCTAATCAAAGAGTACTTTAGGAAGATGAAATATTTATAATGAGTTATGGAAACAATGTTTTAGAAATGTTTTTCTTGGTGTAATTTAATGCAGATTTTTACCTCAATTTTGTTAGAAAACTTGGTAATTTTATCCCTCCATCTATTTAATATTTAATATTTTCAGATTCTAGAGTATTTAAAATTTAAACACAATTATAAAATTAATTATAATTC